CGAAGAATCATTTTGAGTTTAATCTTAAAATGTTGCACGTCTGTCCATTATTATTATCCTTCCATCACCATTCTGCTGGTTACTGTCATGCAGTGAATGAGGTATAGAACGTAAGAATGCTAAAAATACATCAACAATGATGCGGAGTACAGAATTTCCACACGACAGTTACCGAGAATCTATGAAAAAATTGGATAAAGTCGTAATTAAATCTACATTGGGTGTACGTTCGTTTGCATATGGAGACAAAAGGCGTAATTTCAATCATGATCTAGATATAAGTGATGAATTTCTAGGTTTTATGTGATGTATTTGGTATCTTATAAGATGTACGTTAAGAAAATATGCAATAGTAAGTCAGAAATACCATGAGTTTCTTTAAATGCAAAATATCATTCACAAAATATATAAGTATAGACGATATTTCAATTTGTATTATACGGTTTATTTTCAAAATTATTCACACCATAACATCCATATTTCCAAATAACTCCAATCCTATGATCTATGATCTCTCCTAACTCATGATCTATTCTATTTGCAATCTTCTACAAAGGTTGAATAATCAACTCCAGTATCTACTCTTTTAAGTTTAAAATATTTCATACCACCTTCCAGTTGGAAAAAGTCTGCACCGTCACCATTAGTGTCACGTCCATGACATCAGCCCCTTCAATCAACGACTTTTCACAAGATATTCTATTTATTTTATCAAAAATAAAAACTAAAAGTTTATTACAAGAATCTATGTGATAATTACATGATTACATTCTGATTTGATGATGTTGTTGTTACATACATGATGGACTCAAATATTTTTATCTCTCAGTTTTGTTAGATATTGATAATGAAATTGTTTAATCATTTTGGTAGCGTTAGCAAGATTAATACCAAGCCCCCAAGTTTGCTTGCTTACTTCATAATCCTGCCAATTTACAAGATTATAATTAATTTCAATTGACGCAAGAGTCAATGATATTTAAAACTTCAAAAAAAAATTCTTTGTTAATCTTGATTAGTTGTAGAGGTGGTGACAAACGTCTTGCAATAGTTGATTCTTTATACAGTTCAAGCAATGAATCATGAAACATTAGATGAGTTTTCATAGATTATGATCAGGCATGGATGTAATAGTCTCCCGCCTAAATACGTATAATTTAGTCTCCTCAAAAAGATTACTTTAGTCTATTCAAAAACATTAATTTAGGCGAATTTAGTCTCCTTACAAAATTCATTTAGGCTAATTTAGTACACTAAAAAGTTAATTTGGACCAATTTGATTTCTAAAAATTTAATTTAAGCTTATTTAGTTTACTAACAATTTTTTTCAGAGTAAAATTTTTTTTAACCAAATTTCCTAATTTCTTATCAATTCTGCATACTTGTCCACTCTCCATTGGTTATAACATGTACACTCCAAATCGTAACTCCCTTAATTTAGTCGCCTAATCACCATAAAGTTTAGGTAATTTAGGTGATCGTATATAAGGTCGCCTAATACAACCATGCCTGATTATGATAGATCCAACCTACATGATGACTTGTTGACTTGCTTACTCACGCGAAAAGAGAATAGTAAAGTTTGTTGTTAAATCGACTAGTTTTCAAATTGCAAAGCAAAAGCTAAACTTTATATTGAACTAAAATGTTAGAGTTTTGTATGTATTTTTTTTCTGCCACTCTCGAGTTCCTACTAAACCTTGTCTTCATAACTTTGTGAATCTTCAAAAACTTGATGATCAAATCTTGCATAGTTGGGTTTTTTTTGCCAAACTCGAGTTCAGATACTCAAATTGTGAATGATATTCATAGTTTGTGAAGAACAAATTTTGATGTATGAATTCTTAAAATGTATTGTTCTAGGCAAACTTTACAAATGAAAATAGATGCATCCAATTGTTTTGATGGTATTTGATAACTTGTCATGAACACATGATTATGATATTGTTTAGTCCATAATAGTTCACACACATCAGAAAATATACATCTTTCAGCTTGAAAAATAAAATAGGAGCTCCAGTAGGTGATTGGAAATATCAAATAAAATTATTTGCGAGATTTCATCAAAGTAAACTTGCAATCCGTCAAACTTTAACGGGAAGAGTTTGTAAATTAGATTGAAGGGGGTTGCACATCTTCTTGGAGTTTGATATTGCAATCATTATCTGAATGCTAAGTAAGTGTATCAGCATTTTTATTAAAACACGTCTCGGTACTGCTCATATTTTGCTGATAACATGATTGATTCTTGAACGTTTCGATATGTCAAAATTGCATATATTACTAACATATTTTTATTCTTGGTAGAAATCATAAAGTCTTAGGCACCAGTCAACAATAAAACTTTGACCTTGGATCCTCAAACTTGGTAAAGACACAAGTTTGGAATATTTCTAGAGTGTTTAGACAATATATGAACATTGATTCATTGTGTTGGTTTTTTGTTTTTTCTAATCTATATTCAGATTAATCATATCTAATCAAGAGAGTTCTAAAATAAAAGTATTAGAGGGAAAATTTATAACATTGAGTACAATAGTTCTTGAATATTCTTCTATAATAATGTCTAAAAGTTTAGTTTTGTGAGTGATAATTTCTTAAATCAAGATCCTACTTTCAAAACATATTTTATAGTAACTATAGAAAGATTATAACGTTTTACAAGAGTTTTATCAACAAAAATAGCATAATTATGGAAATCTACACAATGTCATAATAAAAACACACATTCTTTTTTTTTCTTTAATAAGCTTCTTAACTTTTTCTAAGTATTGATCTGCATGAACTTTGAAATCAAAGTACTTGAAGATCTTTGAAAAGTTGAATCTGCGTAATCTGTTTGATATGATCCAAAGAGCAATTGTAGCTACTATCAGTGCTCGAATAGCCAATTGTCAAAGTCAATTGTTTGAGTAATGGCTTCCAACAAGGTAGTTGGTTTGGGCAAGTTTAGCAACAAGATTTTAATATCATCACAAAGTCTCATCAAAACAGCATGATGAGAGTCATATCATTTGAATCAAAATCACATGCAAGTTGTTGAAATTCTACAACGTATGCTGAAGTTCGGCGCGATCGTTGTTGCAGTATTTGAAGTTTTATTATTATTATCAGGACTCAATTTATTTCTCCAAACGTTGTAGTAAATTTTTCCAAAAAATTATTAAGATCTGCTAGAAGTGAACAATACTTATTTAATAGTGAAGAAAAACAAAATAGCGCAATTTTGGTGATAAGTGATCTAATGAATCCAAATTGTGTTTTTTCACTTGTGTATCTATGTGCTTGGAGATAGAATACAAATCAAACTTGATGGACAAAATTTTGAAGTATTGTTAATCTTACTCAAAAATCTAAGACAGCTTATTTGAGATTTTTTAACGCTTATGAAATTGGATTTGTTGCATAAGCTAGAACATGGATTGGAGACCAAACAACTCAAAACTGTTCCATGATATTTCGCGGGTTGGCATTCTCTTGTTGTAGCGGTTGAAGCATGTCAATCATGTTGTGCATCTAGATGCTGGAAGCATCACTCATCTGCGGTTGCGGATGGCAACTCTCAAAACTTGGAACAATACTCAAAGCTTCAAAATCAAAGAAAGTTACATTGAAAGAGAGAAAGATAGAAGTAGTGATGAAAAAACGATACTTAGTATTGATACTCAAAAGGTCAAGTAAAACTAGTTTATATGAGAGTGAATTTGAATGTCATGAGTGTCTCTATTTATATTGATATATTGCTATGACGCTCTCCAGCAAGAAAGGCGACATAAAGTTCAAGTTGGAAAAATGTTTGCCTCGTCCTTTTGTTATAAAAAATCCGCATTGCCTTCCTGTTTGGGTAAAATTCGCGCCTCATCTTCTCTCTATCCACACTGTCGGATACAACCAATCCGCGTTTCCTTGTCTCCACTATCCATGATAGAAAGTCAACACCACTTCCCAATTTGAAAAATTCCGCACCAACTCTCTTACTAGCAAAATCCTACCCTAATGAATGGAAACCTTGATTAAATATTTCTCAATTGGACTAAAGAGTAAACTTGAAATACAAATAACAAGTGTAAATTCGTATGCTAATCTTCGATGCCAGTTTTAAAGAATGTAAATTTTATCCCACCTATTTGAAATTGCCAAGTCATGAGTTTTTTTATGTCAGTAATATAGCAATATTATATACATCTTAGATTGGAATATCTTTTGGAGATTAGCAACGATTTTCATGATTACTTCTGAAGATTAGCAAAATATCATGGCGAAAAAGCCATTGCAACACAAAAATACAAACATGCAGTTACTTATTGCAGTGCATATCTATTTCTTACAAGTCACTCAGTTACACAACGTTGATATGTACTATACAAATATCTGCTACTACCCTATTATCAAAGTTACAACTCATGACTGAATATTTGGCTCATTTCACTCATAATCTTAATATCCAATGACTTTTGTTCTAAAACTTTACTATCTTACTTAAGTGATATATGATCATAACTACAATTGCAGCTCACACCATGTAAAACTGGCAAACCTTTATGCTATTAATACTTTTTTATATATACTCCCAGCTACTTTCTACGAAGATAAGTTCTTCTCGATTTATCATTTTTGGTTACTCTAACATCAGCAAAAATTTGAATATATATCAATCCTTTTCCTTTTTTTACGGGCAAATACCATCTTTTGGGAAGCCTCCAGTATCTCAGCGTATAAACATTGATCTAAGCTTATGCTGTTTTTGCCCATACGTGGTTTGGCTGCTGATTCAAGCCCATATGTGCACACATGGAGTTTTGAAATCTTGATCCAATGATTTATGTAACTTATATGTAAGGTTCTATGAGATTTCCATTTTTTTATCTCTATCAACTTGAGCCCGTGCACGGTCTACGTGCTCGTGTACGATAGCTTCATGTTCTTTCGGGGAAGACTTTCTCCTGTTGTCCGAAATGGTCGACAATTCTTCATCTGCTGACATTTTCGCATGTTGCCGATTCGTTCTGATTGCGGTGTTGGGCCATTTCACTTCTCTGGGAGCTGGTTCCGACGAGATGATCTTCCGTTGCGCAGACTTGAAGAGTGCATCTTGGCCCTGATTGCACGGAACATGAATTGTTCGTGCACGAGCTTTGCCCTTTCGGGAAATTCGGAAACTTGTGGAAAGTCCGGTCCACAGCAAACAAATGGAGCGAAATGGCGCCTGTGTGAAATGTGACATCTGTGTCAAAGTAGGTGGTCCCCCTGCCCGATCGGTCAGGAATGGAGATGACGTCCGTTCGACACCAAAGGACGGACAGCCTTCACTCGAAGCCGGAGAGGAGGACGAGTAGACTACACGTCTGAATCTCAACATTTCGTATCGAACATTGCAAGCATTTCACAAGGACATGTCTGCTGACTTGCGGTCCGTCTCTCTAGATTAGGCCGAGGCACAGTTCGGCCGCTTCACGCGTTTCGATCGCCCGTGGGGTCCAGTGAATCTAGCGAGGCTCCGGGCATGAGGTTGCGTTATTTCTGAAGAGAAATCCGAGGCAATGTGCGGACATTTATGTCAACGAAACTGGCTCGTTAATTTTCAGAAGACATAGAATACTACTGTGCAACAAACTGATATTGTGTGAGAACATGCACGTATGATCGCTTGATGTCTTGAGCTCATCGCTGAGAATCACGAAGGCCAAGTGACACCCGAACATGTTTCAGTTGCGATCTGCGGAATTGGTGCAGAGCCCCGGACAAAGAGAGATGTGGGTACAATGTGCAGAGCCCACCTGCTGTGCGAATTACCTGTCGTCAATTGTGGATGCATTTCTTGCTGATTTCAGAGCGTCAAGTTTTTCAGTCTTGGTTCATACAACGGGGTGACCGTCCATCTTTTCTGGGAAATCGAAATGGCGGGTCGATTGACTCCTCGTGGAACCGTGTACCAGAAGAACGCGCTACGTTCGAAATCCAAGAACATGCTAGGGCAGGGGCAGTTCTCCATCTATCTGCCCAGGAGGGTGGATGCCGAGTATTACGTCCGAAGTCCAGTCAAGGTGAAAGCGGAGATGCTGCTGTCGCCCGAGCATCTTGGTGGGCGCAGTCCTGGCTCCATCCCCTGCCGAGCCCGGGCCGAGAAACTCACCAGAGAGAACGGCCTGAGCGTGGTCAATGTTCCCATAAAGATTGAGGCCGAGCTGCTGCTGACTCCCGGCATGGCCTTCAGCTACAAACCTGCTACTCCTCAGTCTCCCACTCCGCGTAAGCACATTCATGCACCCCACTACTCTCTCTCTCTCTCTCTATTGTCCCTCATACATGAGACCCATCAGTGCTTCTTCAATTCTTTTCGTTTGTGGACGTGGTGGTTTCTGATTTTCGAGCCCAGAATGTTGAGAGGTGAGCAGTAAGTCCTTTTGGCATGGAAGAATTGGCGCCTGCATAGCAGGGTGGTGGACTTATCCGGCTCAATGAATGCAGTAAGTGTCTCCCACGTCAGAAACTGAAGCTATCGTGCTTGTACTCCGTGTGCAGAGGACATTCACGAAGGCTCATTATTGGATTCAAGGCCACTACCAGTGGCAGAGAGTTGGGAGCTATGGGGGAAGAAAATGAAGGCCGCTCTTAGCAAGTACCGAACGGCGTATGGAGTCAAATCGGAGGACTTGTGGCAGACCAAACAGGTACTGGTGTCCGAGCTCCGGCTTGACAATAAATCTGACAAAACCAGGGAGCTGACTAAGCGAATCAATTCATACGCCTCTCAGGTTTTCGAGCAGAACAAGAGGATTCGTCTCCTGCAAGCTCGGTTGCGTGAAGAGGAGGGAGACCGAGCAGAGTCCAGTGAGAAGTTTTGTGTTGTAGAACAGCACTGCAGGTTGTTGGAGAAGAAGCTGAAAGCAGCAGAATCCAGGGCCATGGGAGCCGAGCACCAGGCTGAAGCCATCAAGCTCAGGACCAAGGATTTAGGAGTGGTTTGTGGTCATCAGGGGGTTCAGCTGAAGGAGCTAGCCAGGCAGGTAGACTTCTTCGCCAAGATTCTCGCATCAGAAAAAGTGGCGGCCCTCGATACGTACAAGGCATTGGAACAGCAGCTGGTGATGCAGAAGGTGTTCGAGAACGAACCCCTCTCAGCACGGACCGCCACCAGTGACTGCAGTGGCAGCACTGTTACTAGAACCAACATGAAGTCATTCAACACTCATGGTCCGCTTGTGGAGATGGGTCCTCAGCCCACGCCGAATCGAAGAGCAGAGAATCAGTACGCCTTGTATCCATGCAGTAGCAGCAGTAGGAGAAGTAGAGACAATGGTTTTGCACCGAGATCAGAGCCCAGAGGTAATTCTGAATGCTCTGAGTTAGAAGCCACCCCAAAGCACTCGTCGCACCTGGTAAATCAGTCGATGCACTTTGCTCCAAACTGGGATGTGGAATTCAACTCCTCCATGAAACGAGCCGAGGAGCTTATCAAGCAATGTGCAGTTCAAGCTTCAAGACTCAAAGATTTGAGCGCGGAATTGGATTGTGTAGGAACGAGGAATAGAAGGGACAGAAAGGCCCATCCGAGATTAGTCTGCTTCGAATCAAAGACATACGAAGTTCAGCCCGATCCCGCCGAACCAAACCCTTCTCCTGAGAAGCTCTCCTCTTCCAAACCCCGTCCCAATTCAAACATAAGTCAAGGCTATTTTGAGGACCCCCACATGAGCAAGCCTACGGTCGTAGCTGATTCGATGCACATCTCTGTCGAGGATTTTACCTCCATCCAGCGTACTCTCACGCCCGAACCTATGCAGTGTTCTGTTGACAATCCAATCCTCAATAAATTCAAGGTCATCACGAACCCTCCCTTAGAGCCAGCGTGTAGAAAGGAGCTGAAAGACCAGAGTACCCAGACTCTTCCCTTGGCAGCCGAGTATAAAATGGAACGCGACAATAAGAAGGAGCTTATGAAACTATCTAGACACCCGTGCTCCTCAAGCTCTCATGGCCAGAAGAGTCGGCATGCAGCATTTCGCAAGGCAACCATGCCCTTGCGGTTTGAAATAAAAATATGGAGGATCGCAGGCCAGACCTTAATGCAAGCTTCGATGTTGTGGTTGGGAATCCGCCTTTTACCACAAATGCAGCTCTTCCGTTTCTTTCCTCCGGCAACTTGACCTCCTCATGGAGTTTTCTCTACAATTGACTGGTTCCGAAGAAGGAAAAGGAAAGTTGATGTGCCCTCAGCTCCGTCCTCTGCGTATCCAGTCTGACTTCTGGCATCGCAGAGCTTCGAGTTGTTCAGACGGCGAACGCTGCCCACAGGTTTGGAAGTATTAACTCGAGCTTATCAAACACAGATTGCTCTTGCAATCTACAGCTGATTTAGATGCTTTCTTCCGTACTTCGGTCCACTGGACCATCCTCTGGGGTTTCGAAAGTTGAATTCCACGCTGAACCCTGCGCTGTGTGATAATCAACGGAGTGTGGTTAAATCGCCATGGCTGCTCTCGAATGATTCTAGGATCTCGAGCATCTTCATGATGAAGGATTCTTGATTCAAGGAACTCCTCAAGTTTGCACCCTTTGACTATGCATCTGCAACAACGACTGCCAACATCTACTTTCAGTCCAGAAGCTACTGGTTGTAAACTTTTACGGCGTCTTTAGCCTCCAGAGCTCTCACTATGTAAAGGCCCAAAGTGGAATCATCACTTGCACCAGCAGCTGTCCTGTGAACGTGACCAAATAGTCGCAAATATAATTGACCGGGTGAGTGAGCGAGGTGATGATCTTGCATGAAAAATTCAGTGACTTCCTATTCTGCTCCCAGTCTGACAGGGAAATTGCTTGAATTGCATCTAACCTTTAACCTGCTAAGTATGCAGAAAAGTGCGAGGTCAGTGCTTACTGAAATAACAAATCTCTAGAGAAACTGATGAAATTGAAACAGCTGATGGTCGTGTTCATAATATTCGGACATGCATAATCTTGCAGTGGATGCAGAGAAGGACCAGGGAACAAATTACCTTCCATGCTCTTCTACAGCGTATAGGAAGTTCTGAGAACGAAACCTGCACTGTTCGAAGAACATTGGTGGACGAAACTGTGTTCTTCTAGAGTTCTAACTATTTACGAGGCTTCGAACCTGAAGAACTTGATCAGTTGAGTCTGACAACTTGACATGAAATTTTAGCAAGGTGGCTGACCCAGGTGTACATGCATTAAGTGTACATCACAAATGCTAACCAATGTCTAGAGACATTGATTCAAATAATCCGTGCTCATTCACTATAATAAAGAGTCACAATGTTTTAACAATAGTTAAAGATCAGAAATTTCTCCTGGATTCACGTTGTTATTTAAGCATTACAAAATTCAAATAAGCGTTGGTTGCAGTAGAAGTTCTGCCTGGTACCTCTTCACTCATTTTTCAGATACCGACTATCAATTTTTTTATCAAATGTACTGCAAATGTAGCAAGTTCCCAAGCTAGAAGTTTGATGAAGCTAGAAATTTTCTTCTTTCACATGATGGTTTTGCATTTTATCAATCTCCTCCACGGAATTGCATAGTCTATCAGTAAGTTGTACGAAAGATATGAGAACACATAAAAGTTGGCAACCATACGTACTAAATACGTCAATTAAAACTGTCAAATAACTATAAATCGTACAGATCCTACAGGGTCTCCACAACGAAAATTCCTGCCCTGTCGATCTCAAAATTAGCCGGGTGTCATGCAGCAAAGGAACAGCAACGCTTTTTCTTTACTTCCAGCAGTCAGTTAATAACCTCATGATGCATGCAACACTCCGACAATAGGGAATACCAAATGTGACGGCTGTGGGATTTGAACCCACGCCCTTTCGGACTGGAGCCTAAATCCAGCGCCTTAGACCACTCGGCCAAACCGTCTCACATGACAACTGGATCAAGTTGTAAATAATAATTCATTGAGATTAATATTTATGAACAATATGAAACTTCTGAATGTCATGAACAATTTTCTGCATATTAGAAGTGACCCATTTAAAACTTAAGTCAATTTTCTTCACCGATGGTTTTAAAGACGAATAAATTTCCGTAAATCAAAAGCTTCCTGATTTTAAAGCATTGTGAAATTCGCAAAGCTTGTTTTTGCAGAGAATCCAAGACTGTCAAGATGTCCCCTGGTATGTTAAGTGCTAGTATACTATCGTCACAAGGTGTTCTCTGGAGATGCATTGCAATCAGCATACATTATTCTTTTGCTAGACTGAGTACTAAAAGCTAGACCCATGAGATTGCCAGCTAAATGGCGGCAAAATTTACTGGTTGTCGATGTAGGGAGTAAGCCTCGGTAAGGTAAAAGGTTACCAAGTAATGCGCAGGTCTTAACCTTTACCTAATGGTAATTTACCCTGTATACATTCTCTATGTATATCACGAGTCATGATACATGTATATATAAATTAATGTAGGAGAATTAAGAGAAGGTTTTGCATCACAACTTTTGATCGTCATAATGCTCAACGCGATGAAGTCCAAAGAACTTTGTAATCACCGTGTTCTCATAAGATCTCACATGTTCATGATAAGTTGGGAGCATGGCCAGAAGCACACAAGGTACACTCTCAGAACCATTGACCAGATATTAGAAGAGAAACAACATGATGTACTAGTATTTAAAACTTGCTTTCAAAACAAATGTGATATTTTAAGAAAAGTCACATCTTTCATTTCTAAAATTCATCAGATATCTCAGGTAGACTCGACAAATGACAATGTGTTAAAACTTCACTATTTACAACATTCCAATAATAACATAACGAGAACAATCCCGAAACAAGAGACAGAGTGATCACAGAGTAGAACGAGGAGGAAGTAAGGTGAAACGAAAGAGGGAGGCGGAAGAGGGGAGAATCCTTAAACCCAAAACCCAAAAAAAATTACCATTTGGAACTAAGTTGAAATTTGAAAGTTTGCCACAGACTTCGCAACCACGCCATGAATTCAATGGCGGACTTTTACAATGGCGGACTTTTACAATGGTTACCTGGTAATCCATTCAGCTTTACATTTACTCTACTCGGTTGGTTACCTATAGCCTAGCCTTTACCTTTTATCTTTATCTTTTATCGAATTACCAGATAGCAACAAAAGGTTACCTTATCTTGCCGAGGCCTAGTAGGGCGATCCATAAGGGAGAGTAGACGGAAATTGTGAAATTAGACGAGACAATGATTTTGCAGGATTCATGGATGGGGAGGAGACAACAGGCCCTGTAGTGGAAAGCGGTGTTTGAGAATCAAAAACTAGAAGAGACAATGATTTTGCATGATTCATAGACGAGGAGGAGACAAGAGGCACTGCAGTGGAAAGTAATGTTTCAAATTCAGATGATAGACGAGACAAGAATTTGCAGGATCCAGATATGGGGAGAGGAAAGACGCCCTGAAGGACTCATTCAAAATCAGATCAAACATTCACCGGACAAATTTTGAATACATATTACATTACGTGCGTTCAGTAAAAAGTAACACTTTCACGGTTGATGCAGAAACTATCATCATGACTTGAAAGTCATGAAAACTACTCTACACATTGTTATCTACTTTCGAGGAGATTTAGTAAATGAATAAGAAAGAAATAATCACGTGGATATTTCAAACTAAAATCATGTACCAAGAGAAATAAGTAAGAAATTTGGAAAGATAAGATATCCAAAGGCAATTATAGGTTAAATGATATTGCGAAATGTACATAAGGGATACACTCTAGCAGCAAGTGGAGGAAATTGAGCGAGCTATGACATGCATTCAATAACGCCTTATAATAAATCCTATGTATATGTTGTGCTACGGTGAGAAGGACTCCATTTTCCGCGTCTCGATTTGGAGCCATTTGCTCTCAAGTTGCAAGGCTGGCGTTTAGGTGCTATCACATTCTGCTTTTCTAAGTCCGGGCTACCCAATCTTCACATCTTTTGAAACCACTAAGGGCAACACAATGAAGTCACCTTTAGTTCTTGCAATTCTCTCCCTGGCACTGATGCTGGGACAGCGTGCATCAATGGCCACCGCTCAGAAAATGGTCTTTCCTCTGTACTTGATTTACGCACAAGAGGGAAATCGAACTCGCTCAAAGCAACTGCATCGACCCATTAGCACTGAACACCAACGTCTACCGAAAGGTTCGATAATATATACGAGGCAGCGAGGCAGGTCGGGTCAAGCTTCAAGCTCTTCTTACTTTTTCCACACATTTCTCAGAAATTGCATATTAGTTTCGTAGGTTTCAGGTTTGGAACGTTCAGCGTTCTCATGAACCGTCGACGCCATTTCCACCAGTCAGATCAGAATTTGAACAGCCACGAATAACAACAATAGTAGGTACTGCCTGTACCGTATCGACATATGCCGACACATGAACTGGTATGGGATGTGGACTCTCCAATACAAGCTCGTATTGCATGAGGAGAAGCTTGATAACTATGAAGACTGAAGGTGGACCGTCCACCTTCAGTCCACCCTTAACCTCAGGTCCACCGTGGACCTAAGGTTAAAACGATGGGATCTTCATCACTGACTCAAAGCATTTGACAGTCTTCTTCAGAGTTAACACTGGTAGTCCTCAGCTAGTAAACGAGTTCGAATGCTCTCTGTCTCTATCTTCCAGCGAAGAGTGGGGAGCATGGCGGCTCCCGGCAACTATCGTATCATATCATTTCTGCAGAGCAATTGGAACCTTATCCACCGTTAGTCAGCTCAAAATAGTTCATCCGTATGGTCCATTTTATCACAAGAGGTTGACGCTCACGATAACACCATTTGCAGTTTTGTATAGGACCAAACTGACGAAGAAGAACATCCCAATGTCTATCAAAGAACTTTCGGTTTGCAACCAGTTCTCATCCACCTAACAGATGCCTGAAAGTCCCCCTTCCGTAAGGTTGTTCAAGTAATCCTCTGCAAGCAAATTTTTTAAGGGGCTGATGGAACCTGCCTGTCGACGTGCATACGTGCGTGCTATTAACTCACTCCGGCTCCAGGAACATGATGTCGTTCAACCTGTGGAGTATCGAAGCCAAGGGGATTGTTGAGGAGCCAAGCGCGAAGGGATCCACCTTTCGGAAACTTTGCAACTCCATACTCCAGAATGCCCCTCATTGAAAAACTCCAGTTCAGGTAAAGAACGCTTGCATACTGCTAAACGCCTCGCCTCGTGGTTCTTATCGTAGGTGATTATTGGATAGGATCTCATGCCATCAATGCCTTGAGTTTCGTCCGTGGAATTTATGAACTTCTGATCGCAAACACGTACTGTGAGGTCCGTATGATACAGACCTCACAAATAAGATACAGAAACGCACTTGCCGTTGTACGTACTGGCAACAATGTCACTCGAACACAATTCACTTGAGATCAGAGTCGTTGTAACATAACTTTCGCAGCGAGCAGTCCCAACTGTAAATATCCCAAATGTGCAGCAGCGTCGTTAGATCTGCTCATTTTCGTTCGCCGATTTCCAACTACTTATATGGTCGCTCATTCCAGAGTTGTTGCCGAAGTAAAACAAATCCCAGCAGAGCTCCTCCTGCACAGAACTGGAATCCACATCTGATATTTGGAAATATGTGCAATCGATTACTTCCAGCTGAGTTCTAACGATGATGAATTTTGATCTCTTTCCTGGGATCCCATCCCGGAACATCTGGATCTCGTTTGCAGGTTGCAATAGAATTGTCATTTCGGCACCGTTCATGCCACGTCTTACACAACTGTAAGTAATTGGCCGACCTGAGGAATTTCTCGCCACAGATTTGCATAATGACATAACATACATAATTAATGTAGACAGAAGCAGAAGAGGAAGAAATTTCAGAACATTATAATTTTTTTCATGGGTTTGTGCTTTTTCGTCATTCTCAAGATACTACTTGAATAATTTCAATGATCAGTTTTTTCCTTCCCATTTCCGCGTGCCCAGTCCGTGGTAGAATGGGTAGAGGAGTGGGCCCTCTAAGGATCCAAGTAGCCTTATTAGACAATATTGAATGTGACAGCTCTGTAAAGTCTATCTGCAATCTAACTTGACTTTCAATGTGATCGGGAGAAAGAAGACTTCTTGTTGACCGGAGTGTCTAGATTCAAATTCACAGACAGACAGCTGACACTACAGTTGGATACCAGCTCAATATTTATGCGATTTTTACAAACTTGAAGGCATGAATCATCTGCCTGGATTCTCATCTGTTGATATCAAGATAATTGTTCACAATGAGCTGTTTAGAATATCATAACTGCAGCTGCATATTTTGTACATACCAGTACCTTTGGAGATACATACAAGCAGAACTATGAGGAAGAGCTTGGTCCACTAAATGAATAGTGATGAAACTATATCGCTATGCTTCAGCGCGGAAATGGCTGCAAGCCAGTCATACACGACAGGGAAAGCCTTCATCTGATCTGTGTCTCATGAGCACACAATGAGTCGTCGCTTACCGAGAGCTTGCTGATCTGACCTCGAGTCTGCAATGGTCTTACGAGTGAGTGCACGTGGAGACTGAAAGCTCTCCAACTTCCAATGTTCCACTCGTTGGTATCCCAAGTATGTGGATATACAGAGAGAGTTATACAAACCATGGCTAAGGCAAGGTGTCACTCCTGATACATTCGTCTAACATATGTGTTAAATAACATGTGTTCATTATTCATAGATTATGAATAATGCTATGTTATGTATGTTATACTAAACCTATGTTTACGTAAACTGCAGGTTAAATCAACATACGAAGCATTTGTTTGACTGTACCGTTACTTGTGAACATCAAAAATTTCAGTTTTTCCTGAAATTGTTTCCCTCCTTGTCTCGCATGATGGGGTCGCTAGTTTTTAAATCTAAGATAGGGTCCTTCAAGTCAAAGTGATGCTTTGGTCACTTGTTTGCATTTGGATACCCGTTTTCTTGTTTCAAGTTTCAAGGGTTGACTCCCACTTCGAGGATTAGAGTGTGACTTCGTCGTGGGCTTTAGGGGTTAGCATCCGCAATCTACCTGCTTTCATCGAAATCTGCTTGTCTGCAATCAGCTCACTACTCGATCTTTACTTCGTGACCGGACAAGATTATATTTGAGACGACGCCTTCACTCGGGGCTTCTTTACATCATTCTGCTTTGTCTGATTGAGAGCGGCCGGTTCGGCCAAATTCGCTTTTGATTCGATATCCAGAATCAACGCGACCTCTTACCATTCTAGAGTTAAATGTTCTTGTCCAAAACTTCAGAACAGATGCTTCGGAGAACCGGTTTGGGGTTAGAGAGAGGTAAAAAATTACTCATTGCGAAGCTACCTTCAAGATATGGAGACATGGTAATACGAAGAGAATGCAGGTAACCGCGAGCTTGCAACATAATGAGGCACAAGACACCCCCCAAAAATGTGGAAGACCGACCCCATTGTTACAAAAAAGCCACATACATTATGATCTGACAAGTACAAGCAAGTGATTCAACATTTTCTTTACAGCTTTACTGCCTGTGACTTGCGACTTGTGAAATGAGCCCCATATTGGTGGGAAAAAATTAGAACACCACCCAACCCATGTGATGCCTACAATCTACCTAAGTTGTCCGACAATTCCGAGTTTCTTTGAAACCTATTGTACGATAAACGTTGAGAATCTTCACAACACTCTCCTTCGGAAGGGGTTGCTCTTCTTGAAGATCACAAGAAACCCACAGATCTTGTTTTGTTACAATCAGTAATCTTCCACAAATCAACTGCTATCAACTGGCTGGGTGAGCCAACTCAACGACCAAATTTCACCAACAGTCAACAGCAGATAATCCTTGCATGGCAGTCCAGTCTCTTGCATCATGTGAGACTGAACACCTGCATAATCATACATGGCTGTCATTCCAAATTCATTAAAATGGCCGACTGAATGTCCTTACCCTCAAAACTATCCCAAAACCGTTTCACACATCTTCTGTTCAAGCTAGAAACAATAATTGAGATGTAGATATGTGAGGGCTAAAGGAGCTCTTACTTTAAGCAGCAAAGCCCTTCATCCATCCAGTATCTGCTTGTGGGACAACACATGTGCTCGGGACAAAAGGTTTGCCTCAGACTGACATTTCATCATCACTGACATCCTCCCGATTTAAGACGGCCTCCTCCCGCACACCTTTCCTCTTGAGGGACGACATCATAGCTTCTGGTGACCTCCTGCGCTTTCGGCCGGTATCGGGGGCACCTCGAGCACGTCCCTGCATTGGTGCAAGTATTGATTAGTTTCCATTTGTATCTCGAAGGATGCCGGTAAGCAAAGAAATGGCGATCATGTCGTAAAATTGGGTCTCATTGAGTCCGAAGAGGTTAGTGAATGTCCTTCAACACATAAGCTACTTTCACGCTTTCGGGTTCCAAACTAGTACCAAAGGTTAACTTATACACAGGTCGTTCAAACAATGAGAAATCGAACCTCCATAAAAGCGTGTTTGGCTTCGTCTCTCGCTCTCAGTTCTTCATCGGTTAAATCTCTCCTATGCACCGTTACCCTAGACGGCACAGGAAACTGGTTGTCGAAGTCTTCTTCCTTGGGGCGTCCCTCCTTCGCCTTCTTCTTTTGTAAGATGAGTTTGGAAGGCAGAGGCTACACAACAGTTTTTTTCATACCCATAACATTAAGAAGAGACCAAATGTCACCTCCGACCATTGATTCAACGTCATTTTCTTAAAACTAGATCGGAACTCAGGCTGAAAGAGTGACCAATCCACATTAGTGCTACAAGGAAATGACCAACCAATTTTGAAGTGGCTCTACAGCATAATCTTCATAAATTGATCACCAGCCGTGATTTAATTCAGAATTAACATTAAAATGATAATCCACACAATCAAGTCTACACAAAGAAGATGTGAAAGACTGCTCCAGTATAGCACTGTTGAAAATAGAGGAAGAACTGAAAAAACTTACAAGATAAGTGACAGAGTCTTCTCCAAAGCAGAAAACGTAAGTACTTTCCTGGTGGTCGGCTCTAAGCTGAAATCAAAGATAAATTCAACACTATTGATGTCAATATCGCACATCTCAATCAGACACAAGCACGCAAAGAAATCAATAAAGAAAATGTCTCTGACATATATGTGTGTGACGCCACCAATAGACCAAGCAAGGAAGCTGTCATTCGTTTGGTATACACAAGACTTGAGTCATAATCACCTTCAATGTACAGAACGGAAGCAAGCTGACAATTGGCATGATCTAATAAGGCAAAAGAAGATAGTGAATGGTCATGTGTAATGTCGGAGTAATGACTTACATCCCAATGATACTCCCTAACCCACGTGTACTGTATATCATCGTCCTCTTCATAAATATCTTTGTCCAGCTGCGTGCAATCAAAACGCCTCAACAGTTTAGAGAATCGCAACCACAAAACAATTGTTTTTTGCAAATGTTCCCATGTGGAGTTGCCGAAAGGAACATGTAAGCAAAGCATAAGTATAGCCAGGGAAAAGAAAATAAGCAATGCTGGAGGTTAAAAACAAGCAGATAAATATATTTGTTGATAGATATTCATTATAACATGTCTTACCTCTTCAGCTTTTGGTATCAGGTAGGCCACAAACTTCTCGGGTTTCTGGTCTTCAGAAGGAGGAGGGAGCACATAACTCTTCACAATAGCCTGCAGGTTACATGTTTTGCGTTGACACAATTAATCGGCTTACGAGATGATCCTATAAATCACCGATATGCACATTAACTAGACAAATGTAAGCCTTCACTGACCTATCTCTCCTACATTCATGACGCAAAGTACGAAAGCTACGCCGATGCAACAGCTCCACGATGTTTAAAGCCTGGAAAAAGTTTACAATCTCAGCTTTGAAAACCCGAAGAGTTATGAGACCCACCCTAGCTTCGATCTCGTCTCTCATCTCAATATCCAACTTTGATAACTGAGCTGATTCTCCAGTTGGATCAGTGTCAAAGATCATGTGGACAAACTGATCACCCCACCTGCAAAAGATAATGAGACTATGAGACTAGATACAAATTACAGAAAGTAAGCTGAAGTGGATTGATCAAAACATTACTGGCATGTGTGATGTAAGGCATCAACCAAAAAATGAAAAGCAATCATGAACAATCCACCAAACAGCAATCTTGAGTCCCTGCACTCTGAATGAAGAATCCAAGTGCGAATTGTACTCTACCTGTCGAAGTCCGGTAAGAGTGGCCAAACTTCAACCGCCTCCAACTCCGGCTTTGTTTGATGAACTGGAGGTTGCTTGGACACTTTAAAAGACTCCTCAATGGCTTGGATTTGTTGATCTCTGTGTAGTTACAGTCAAGCATCAGTAATGTTGAACAATTCTTTTCTTGAAAATACAACTACGCCACCGTGACGTTCTAAGCACGTGAAATAATCCATGACTATTATACGGTCCATGAAAATATCTCATATAAATGTGGCATTTGTAGAAGTCGGATTACAACAGAAAAGCCCAAGGAACAGACCTGTCGTTTAAGTCTCGAAGAAGCCTTTCTCCTTCTCTCTGCTCTCTTAACTCCTTGGCTTGTTTCTCAGTCATGGACTGGAATGCAAATAAGAGCAACATCCAAATGTCAGACTTCTTCATGAACTCTGAGAGTGAACGACTGAGCAAGAAATCATTACACCAGTTCAATCAAACCAACCTGCTTCGCTGGATCAAGGCTGAGTGGCGAAATATATTGGGTTTTAACAAGCCAAGCAACTCCTTTATCAGTTGGTCTATCCTTCTTCCTCATGGATAGTGGCTCCTTTCTGTTAACAACTTCATCGTCCACTAGCAATACAGCATCTTCTGGGTCCATGGGAGGTTTTACCCGCGGGGCACTGTGCAAATTTGGGATCAAATTTAGTTCCATAAAAACCAATTCGACGACACTGAAAAAGGAAAACAACACTTTCATACTCTAGGACACGATAAATAAAACCAAAGATTATATAGAGAGCGGAATCGTAAGTGGCTCTTACTTGTATTCACTCAGATCCAAAAGATCTAGAGGAATGCCAAGATCAGGTTCCACAAAAAGCTTATGTTTGTAGTTCTTCTCCAATGTCGTGATAGTATACTTGGTATATCTGCAACCACCTAGACATTGTATCTTCAATCCGCAAACCAAGACTGATATCCAAAAAGACATCCGGACAATGAAAAGCAAGAGCTGAGCACCGCTGCTATTTGGTCAGCGACTCCAATATCAACACACACTAATAAAGAATTCCTCTTCAAGATATGACCATCGTCCTTCACCTTTGTAGAAGCTTATAACCGTGAACTTTGAAATGGTCACACCATCACAGAGAGACGCAAGATAAATTAACAAGATAAATCCGAACAAAGTAGAGACTCTGCGGCATGTCACTCAATCACTAACAAAGCAAGTTCCTATTCAGGAAGATCAGGAAAAGATACGCACTGATCTTTGTCGTTGTTGATGTGCATCAACTTCGGTTGTGAGATGGCATCTGGTAACTCATTCCTAAATCTGCACGTAGAATCGATGCAATCATGGACAAGCAAAACTGGTGAAGGTAACAATTTTGCATGAAGTTTAAACGAGTAAGCTCATCTCCTTTCAGGAATCTACATCAACCTTTATCACCACGAGATGTACTTCAGAAAAGAAAAAGACGACCATTACACGAGTAACCCATTATATCAGAAGCTCATAGCTCAGATATCATCAAAACAGATTCTTGGTATAAGCAAGTCTGGTACACAACCCTTTGAGTTTTCGGAATTGATTCCATCGCATATGGATTCACACAACCCTGAATGAGGAGAAGCTAGGCGCTTTGCGCAAAACAGAAGCATAGCAGATAGGCCCGTCCCGCTTTCAGATTTATTAATCCTTTTGAACTCGTCGAACCCCAGAAGTCAAATTGACAGACCTCTCTACAAAGTACAGATGGGTCAACAGAAGACTAGGGGAAAGGACTAAACGATTCATTTGAAAGAATTCCTAGCTGCTAAAACTTTGACTTCCTGCTAACATGGCAAGTCGGGACGAATATCTCTATCAAAAAATGCTCTAATCTTCCTCGTTCCTTTGTACATGGCCAAAAGTACAGATGAAGTTCACCAAAGAAAGGATTTGTCAAAGAAAACACTAGCAAACAAGTTTACGTGTGTAAATCGTGAAAACATTCTTTAAAAAGCAAATGAACTTGAAAGATAAAGACAGCATAATGAGCAAACTGGTCTAAGTGGAAAATTGGCACATACGCAAAATGCTTAATCAGCATGAAAGTAGATAATGGAGAACATAGAGTAAAAACACTCTCTTACAATCATCTCCAAGAAACAGGAAAACATGGTTCTCAGGATCTCAGCTGCGTTCATTTCAATTTATACTGTGATCTTGTATGTATTATATATAAATAAGCATATGAGCGAATAATGCTGGAAGTAAGTAGTTTATAAGCCGTATCTAGACACAGCATCGCTAGTATATAGAAAATGTAAAAGATCTGTAAGAAACGTAGGTGGGTTGCCTAGTCATGTAGTGCAAACTTTAACTGTGTGGTGATTCTATAAACAAAAGCAGTCTGTGCATGTAAGGTCGAACAAGAATCCTTCAAATATGATCAAACCATATATGCTAATAAGAATGTGGGGATAATAGACACAAGGTGACTATACTGATTAGGAAAGATTGGCAGGTTCGTAACCGGTCTGCCTCGTTTGAGGTTCAAGCCGCAATAAAAACCTTGCTTAATGTAGACTCTCCAGGTACCTTGATATTTAGGTTCACTCACTGAAGTTCTCCAGAGACCATCAACAATACTTGAAAGGAAAACGTCAAATCTCCGTCAGGTAGTCTATGCTGCTTTGTCAGTGGATACCGAGGTGCATAGGTTTCTGCACTTTACAACACTTACAGGGCATAGAGAACTGAACTCTAAATTTAATCGTCCATTGATGACAAGAGTAAAGACGACAGAGGCAGTCCAGTAAGACTTGCGGTGGCATTAAGGAATAAATGCATTTTCGGCTCAAAAAAATTGAATTCACGAAAAGGAATTAAATACATTTCGAGAGAGATATAAAAATTTTGCAATAAATAGCTCAACATTCAAGCTCAGATTTTGTGTTTTGAAAAGGCAGGTAAAGCTGTGATAGGTGCGAGCACTTTTGTGATGAAAGGTTTTCATCCGTGAGGTTCTACTGAAAGACGAGCTAGAAGGTCATCATGCACTAGCTTGCACTTCGCTAGATTATTAGCTTGCACTTCGCAGTCATTTATTTGTTACTTTTTCACAAAGTAATCCAAAACAAGCAAACCAGCTATGTTTTGAGAAGAGGCTGCATTGATCGCGCGCTTCTGTACAAGCAATGACTGTAGGATTCAATTTTCATTTTCTAAACGCTACTATACCATGATGAAAAAATATTCCTATGACTCACCTTATTTTACATAGGAAAGTCGATGGTCGCTTGAGCCGATTTTCAATCTTGTCAGCGGCGGGAATAGATCGTCTTTCAATCCTGTTGTCCTTAGTTCCATTGATCGGTCCTGACTTGGATGACGAAGGATGTGCGAGCACTCTGCTCTTATCCTTGTGTCTCTCTTCCGCTTTATGCCTCTCATACTCCTTCAATTTTCTTTCTCGCCGCTCGTCTGGAGTCTCCAACCTTCTGCCATGCGGTAATGCAGAGCCTAAACTATTTCCTCTCGAAGACGAGGAGGCACCTGGTCCGCCGACACTCCTCACTTGCGCAGGGTTGACAGCTCCCATCATATGGGCATGAGATGAGCCAGAAGGACGATGGGGCTGGATAGGGCCCTGCTGAACATTTGGGCGATTTAATGAGGAATTGTTGGCAAATCCCATATTATGACCTTGGTTGACATTTCCTTGATTTGGGTAAGGAGGTTGATTCATTGGTACATGGCCAGGTTGGTGGGGGTGCTGATGCTGGGAATGTGCATGGGGGTGTGCATGGGAATGAGAATGTGCGTGTGGATGAGAAGGTGGATAGTGAGGAATGTGCTGCTGTGAACCAGGTGGTGGGAGAGGGGGAAGTTGCTGTGGCGGACCTTGAGGAGGTGGAGGAGGAAGCTGTTGTGGACCTGGTGGAGGTGGAGGAAGTGCTCCACCGTAAGGAGGGGGTCCGGGAGGAGGTGGAGGACCTGGCGGAGGGCCTGGTGGTGGTGGTGGTGCACCAGCAGAAGCATAGGGATTTGGGTTGTAACCACCGGGCAGTGGTGGTGGTAGTGGAGGGTAAGGATTGAGATTGTAGGCACCTGGTGGTGGTGGCAACGGAGGAGGTCCTGGAGGTCCTGGTGGACCAGGCGGCCCCGTACTCGGACGATATCCTCCTCCAGGTGGTCCTCCCGGTCCTGGAGGCCTTCCCGGTGCATTGTTTTGGTACAAAGATGATGCCATCACCTCTCCCTGAAACTACACCTGAACGAGAATCCCTAAAATCCTTCGCTACTTGCAACAAAACCTAAAGTTTCTCAGCCAAGCATGCCTGCTGAGCTCAATGGCAGCACTCCCTTTTCGATCCTCTATCTACACCCCGTCGGTCTCGTGCTCTTGTCTGATCCTCCCATCTAAGTGACCAATATATTCCTGTCCAAATCCAATATCACACGCTGTATTCAAATCCTATTCCGAGCCAGGTCCCGCAACCGAGGCTTCCCGCTGCGAGCAAACAAAGACGCCGAAAATCCATGCATGTCCTCTTCCGCTCCTTCACCTAGAACCCGATACAGATCGCACGCGCTCGTGTCAGAGAAACATTCCAACACAAACGTCGCCCTGCCTCCAAAGCCAATCTGCCTGAGACAGAAGAAACAGAATAACCCTCTCGCCTTCAAAACCATCCAAAGTAAATGAGCAAGCGCAGTGGATGAACTGATCAACAAATGGGTCGAAGAGTCCGTAAGCGAGTCTGTCACTGACCTCGCCGAGAGGTACCGTCCCTGAGATAAAAACAGCAACAAAAGGCAAGGTTTTTCGAGTGGAAAAATTCCACCACCAAGAGGGCAAGAAGAGCGGCATGTGCCAAACAGTGACTCTGCTCTTCGACGCTCGGCATCCACCTGCTCGCTCGCTCTCGCTCTCTCCCAAAACACACTCACACACACACACACAAACTCTAAGTAAGCCGAGGCTCACGAAGCTCGGAACATCGCATTGACGAAGTCGCAGGCTGCGCGGGGGACGATTCCCAACGGAGGGGCCGCCGAGCGCGAGAGTGCGCCACTGTATCTGAAGGCGATGGATGCGCAGCGCATTCTGAGACACACCTCCTCCCGCTCGCGAGCTCCAGACAGACAGCAGCACGGGGAGCTCGAAGACTGCGTGCACCTCGCAGACTTTACTGCCCAAACTCTTACGTGGTAGACTGCGTCCCGTACGGCGGCTCCACCCTCACGGAGCCATTGCCATCGTCCCCTCGTCGTCGTCATGTCGACTGCGCGCTCCCATCGCACAGTCCTTCCTTGCTTCGTTGCTGCGACTCCTTCTGCTGCTGCTGCAGACGGTGATCGATGGCGCAAATGTCGCCATGTTTGATCACACGAAATTCCAAGCGACGATATGCAGCTCACCAACCAAAACCTTGCCGAATATGGGTCTTCCTTCCCACTTTCATTATACATTTGATTCGAGTTGAGGTGCCGGCTGACAATGACTTGTTACAGTGATAGTTATCTCGTTGTCCAAAGCTTGTAAGTTTTTTCCCCTACCGTACTGTACGGGTGAAATTCCTTGTGTCTTTTCATGTCGTTTTCACGTTCTTTTTTTGACGGAGATTGAACTTTTAAAAAAAAATCTGCAAGTGCTTCATCTAGACAAACCATGGGTAAGTTTCTTTTCTGTCAACCGTGAGGCTATCAAATCCTCCATGTTTGGAAAACAAACATTGCAATTTATGTGGTTCTTATGTTTACTGATGCTTTGTCCATTTTTTTTCCATTACCAGTATCCAGTAGTTTGTATCTGCTTTGTTTGTACTAGGAGCGTGGAGATGAAAATGCTTGATAATCTTTTGAGATTTGAAGTACAGCATTAAGATTCCGTTATTAGATAAATATGATCATTTTCACTCGTTCTTCTCGGAAAACGACGTTAGTCAAGAACATAATTCAGAAACAAAGTTGAGATTTGGGGATTTGGATGCTATGCGAAATGCATTCTCAACGGCTCTTGATCTCCTCTAATTTCAGAAGGATCAATGTCAAATATGTTACAATTCAAAACACATGGTACCTTATGTTCCTTGTGTCTAAGATCACGAGCAATCAGAGCAGCGACACTTTGATATACGTTTAGCATACTTACAACTACTTTTATTTTCACTGGGTTCCATATTGCATTCTCGATTGTATTTGCAGTATGAGATGCAGAATTTTACCGGTTATACTTGCTTTCTTCCTTTTAAAAAAAAGTCGAATACAACATCAAATGAAATGTTTGTACATATAAAATTCTACTTCCTTTCTTCCTTCCAAAAAAAGTCGAATACAACATCAATTGAATCTTTTGTACGTATGGTTTTCTACTTCTACGGGATCTGGGTGTCCGTATGAATAAAATGCCAACCTTTTCGTTGATCTCACGTGCGTTCCGATTCAAAGTGAGTTTAGACGTAATAAAAGCGTGATTTAGAGGAACATTGTGTTCGGAAATTATAATTAACTTAGCTTTTCGTATCGGTAAGACTTGATGAAATGTGCACAGAGATTTACAGCAAAAAGTTGTCAATAACCTTTTAAGTTGGAGAGTACGAAACTAATCGAGTATAATAGGGCTAATATCAATAGTTGCACGATGGAAAAATATGTGCTTCATGCAAATTGATTGATATTTAATGCAGATATTATCTAGGGTAGAAGATGTTTCCTGAAAAAAATAAGCCCAGTTATGAACATGGAAAAGTTGACACATACTTATTGAGATTCGTTTGAGAGAGAGTCATGTGCATTTGAATCACAAGATTAATTTACACAGTCATTGTAATTTAAACCAAGGCATTAATTGTCCACAATAAGTAGAATATGCGGGACAATCAAAACCAAAACTGTCGTACGATATAACCCCACATGAGCCAAAGCATCAACAAGGAAGAGTTTATTGCAACCTTGCTCACCGGATCGATCATGCAGCTTGCACACTTGAATAAACGCACACATTTTTGGCAATTATTTTACAAAGCAAAGCATATTCGTCCACAAGCAAGAAAACAGAACGGACTATCAAACCTGTGAACGAAAACGAATAGTCTCCGCTTTTACATTTTAATTGGTCCACTCACTAATTTGGACAATACATGCATATAACATACAAGAGGAAGTTCAGATCTATTTTAACTATTTTTTAAAGTCCTGCTATAAATGGGATTTAATGAAGGATACTTGAATTAAGATAATAAACTCAAAATATTGAGAAAAAATTTCAAATATTTCAACTCCTTTGCATTTCAACCCATGTGAGACTCAGCTTCCATGTAGTCCAAGAGCACTAAGAAGATAGTAACATGCTGGCTCAATCAAAAAACAATACTGAAATACGAAGTTTCAGTTCTTGGGCATGGAACAGAAGAATGATTATTTTTTTCATGTACAGTATTAATACAGTTGATATACTCAACTTTTATAATAAAACTAAGACATAGTCAGATTTTTATTTTTTTTTTCAACACTTGGCGATCACTACTACTAAACGCAAGAGAGTTCTTGAGGTTGTGATAATAAATCTCTCTTGACAAGCCGCAAGTGCCACAGTGCCAAGAAGAGAATGAGCTGCAATAGATATAGAGATATCTATATATAGAATATTGATAGTTCAGGGAATATAGCCTTGAACTCTACTAACCTTTGAGTATACTGAAGACCTAGATCTTCCCCTGATTGGATTACCATGTTTTTTAGATCGGTTTGTCACATGTTTGATTTTGACTTCATGTTCTACATCGAGGCTCAAACTAGTTTCAAATGTGATTGATGAAGGAAATCAAAAGCAAACAATAGGTGGATGATCTTTGGAGAACCTGCATGAAAATCAATTTATCCAAAATTAACATAATATAATATTACAAAACATACATGTAAAATATTATAAAAGTCAACTAGGGGTTGTAAATGTGTTGCGATGAGCTCAATTTATACATGAAAGAGAAAATCATGAGTACCTTACTAGAGCAAGATACTAAGATTCATTTTTCCTAACTCATAGTAGAACTTAAGTGTTCTACCTAGTCACATCACTCAACTTCATCCATGTGTTAGAGCAGATTTTTTCACATGCAACTATAAAGTTTTCTTATCAACAAAACCAAATTTTGAATTATGCAAGGAAGAACCACCTCGGTTTTTTGAGAACAATTCAATAAAAAGAATGGATTTTAATTCTTACGAGTAATTTACAAAAGTAATAGAGAAAGCAGTCCAACATAATGCAATACTAACGTCTCCACCTGGTTACTACCACAAAAACACAATCCTTTATCGATAATGTTCAAAGGAGTCAAACTAGTTCTTGCCATTCTAAATATCCAAATCCGAATTGAAAGCCGACAGAAACCTAATTGACATTCAACGTGAGTTATGACAGCTGAAGTGAGCTACGACAGAATATTAATTGTTGTGTGTTGTACTTACATGTTCAAGAAAAAAATTTAATAATATTTTGATGATAGACATTACAAAACTGGAAGATACAATGTTTGAAAAGTTGCATCTCTGGAAACAAAACCATTTCAAAAATTTTACTAAAATTCATCATTCACTAAAATGGCCATGTATCATCAATTTCATCTGGTGAAATTGATGAAAATATATTCAAGAAACAATCAGTATATTTGTCGTAAAAAAATGTTATTTGTAAATCATGCCAATGTAGCAAGAAAAAATAATTTTTTATATAATCAATCATGATTGCAAATTGATTTAGAAAATTTTTAATTATATAAAGAAAAATAATTTAAACTGATTCATAATATTGTGCAATATATCCTATAGTATGTAACTTTCATTGTACAACTGAATTAGTAAACAAAAATTTACCTTGTAATTTTGATGATATATTTAAACTATATGTTTTTCATTTGTACTCAAATATTTTAAATTAAAGTTATAATTAAACTTTATTTTATTCATGTAAAGGCCTGATTTAATCAACCAATTTCTTGATTATGATATTAATCTTTTCATCCACCAGAATTATAACTGAATTATAATATCTAACTATTGATGATAAGTTTTGTAAGAATGCTAGCAGATTTCAACAATTTACAATACAATCATTTAAAGATATATTGAGAGATCTTATGTTTTTTAAAAAATAGTAAACATCAATAATGTCATATATTCTTACAATTTGAAACTAATGTGAAAGTTGATAAATTAGTCTCAATGTGGCAAATAATTCGAAAATTTTCATGTTTCCGATTTTGTAATATTTTTTCATTCTATTATATTTAACGTGTTAAGCCCTTAAATATGAATCATCACAATAAGAAAAAATATGATATCTATTTACATGAAAAAATATTAACTTTATCTAAACATAAACAGATATAAGAGGCAAATAAATATATGTATTTATTTATTTCTGAACAAAATATTATCAATGATTTCAAATCAAAAATTTTGATTAGAGAATAAAATGAAATTTTAAAATAAATAATATAAACAGAAAATTGACGTATGTTATTTTAATGATTATGTCATCCGCTTTGCAAAATTTAGAAGAATTAAAATATAAGATATTATTTATTTAAAAAATATAATGGCTAAATTAAATAATTAATTTGTAAATTTATTATTGGGTTTGAATTGAATATTGATTTATTTATTCAAACAAGAAGATTCACTAAATTCATATAATCCAAAGAATAAAAATTAGTCATACGGCCTTTTATACAGACTGTATTAAATTATCAGAGATTCAGGCTTATAAAGCATGCTCTATTAAATAATAAAGAAGTTTTTTCTGTTTTATTTTGTTAGCCTTATGAATTACTGAATCAAAGTTTTTGATTTTTCTATATTTAAAAAAGATTCGCTTTCTGTAAATTAATTACATATGACTTATTATACATGATTTATTTCACAGAAATAATTGTTTTCAGTCATTAGAATTTTGTAATCAATGATAGGATTCATGAATTTTTATAATTTTATATTGATTTATGAATGACTATGAAAATCAATATGAGAATATCTTGGATCTAATGATATTGATAAAGGGTACCACTACACACCCGCTTTTGCTACGGCCACACCCGCTCGTGTAAGTTGCCTCGATCAAAGCCGCCGAAGGGGTTTGAAGCGGCATGGCAGTGGAAATAGATCAATAAAACGGCAACACCGGCGGCAGCGGTACAAGCGGCAGCAACGCGGGAGACAGCGACGGCCGCAGCGGCCCCGCGCCCCTCGAAGCCTCTCGACTACGCTCTCCTCTGCCTCGGGTACGAGCTCGGCTTAGTAGTAGGGTTTGAGGGGAGACGCGCTTTGACGTGCAATGAGTTGTTTGTATGTAGCGGGTGTGTCTGTATCAAAAGCGGGTGTGGCCCTAGTAAAAACGGGTGTGGCCCTAGTCGTCCCCATATTAATAATGTCATTTATTCTATGGAAAAAATTGTCATGATCCGTGAATTGTTGCACAAGTGTGATCATAATAGTGATAAAGTGAGATCATGAAGCTGTGCGAAATAAATTATCGTCATTTTACTTAACTTAATTAGAGTATTTTGTGGAGTTGCCTTAACTTTACAAAATATTCATTTAAACTTGTTTGCATGTTTGATTTGATAGATGTGTTCGGAAAAAATACTCCAAGAGTTCAGTTTTTTTTTCCATACATGATGTGAAGTGTCATGACTTGAAGTGATGAATCAAATAAAGCACTGATCTATTATATACAATAGTGTATAACATCTTCATCATAGATGAGAGCTGAGTCAGCATAAGTTACTAACACAAAATTTAACTATCATATATGTTTATACTTATTAACTATTACATGCTAAGGTTTTGAAATAATTTAAAAAATTTACAGATTTGAAAACAAGATGATTTAAAGATAAATGTTTACGCTTTTGTTTTATCAACAAGATGTAATAAGTCATTAACAAATTTATAAGTTCATGTTTATTTAAAAAATGATCAATATCAATCATGATGTATCTAAAACTCAAAATATTTAGATTTTTCTTATAGCTAATTCTTTTACTAATTTTTGGTGATTTGTATGCATTTGTGGATAAGATGAATGAGATAATTTATATAAAATGAATGAAAAAAAATAAATATCTGAAAAAAATTAATCATTTTGTGTCTAGATGGAGTTTGAATCAGAAATAGAGAACTGATTTTTACCTCAAACCGAATTACTAATTTGATTAAACTACTTTAATCAAATTGGTTACCTCAAATTTAAGAACTTGGGGAGTTAAAAGGTCTGATTAACACAAGATAACTATTTGAAAAGTACACTTGCAAGATTCAAAATGAAAAATTGCAAGGCTGTGATTACTTTCTTAAATTATATAAGTGCTCATCAGCTCTTTTTTTCAAAAATGATGTGACAAAAATGTTGATGCCAAGATATCTTACAACAAAACAATATGAATTTCAAGTTCTTTAATGATTTGCATTAAATATGATATTCTTCCTGCTATGAACAAGACTTTCACAAAAGTGCCAAATCCAGATCTGGGTGAAATAACATTTTGAAATGTCAATGTGTATACATTCAAGTTGCATGCATCAGTTGAAGATGCATATTGCAACAATGGATAATATTATGCATTAAAAGATTGCAAATGAATCAACTTGGTTGAATTGGGTTATTACGAAGATGAGATTAACGGTCGTCCATCGAGTCACTCTGAGCCGGAATAGTTATTCCTGCTCAGAGTGCCATGTACTAAATGTCATTAGCTAACCTTTTATGGTGCTAAATTAACATAGAATCACTTATTCATCGATGGACACACCGGGCTTTCCTGAGTCCCTCTAAGTAGCTGAACTCATTTGTATTCATCCGCTGATTGTCATAAGGTGCAAATATTACTAAGGCTCATATATCCTAACGACAGCACATATGACGATCAAACCTTCTTGCAGATGACAAATTTGTAACCTAGAGTTAAGTTCACCGCTATCGACCGCGGTAAAGCGACAATCCCTTCACGGAGGTGAAAGTGATCATCACCATGATGTACAAAAAATGTACAGAGTATGCACGAAATTCTGAACAACTGGAGCCGTAGTGGTTTTCGGATGTCATCCACAGAAGGACAAGATCGTCTCATCCAAGGGAACAGTCCCTGAGAATGAAATAGGTTGAGCATCTGTGTCCCTTGGAAAACCTCTTCTGTTCGTCACATTTTTCATTATATGCAATCAATAAACAGCTGTCCCAAAAAAACCTGCGTGTTTCACTACTTTCTGTGGCTTCAATTTGTTTACAAAAAAGGGTATTCAACTTAAATGTAAATCACTACTTCCAAGTCTGAAAGGAGGTCATAACCACTTGTTTGTGTCTTCGAGCACAAACAGGTGCAAGTGGACACAATTTGGCACCGAACTTCATGATCTGTTAAGTCAAGAACATGCCTACTCTTACGGAAAAGACTGACATCAGAAGCTCAGGCTATGGGTTGGTCTGGTCCCACGGTCAGGCAGAAAAGGACACCACAAGTTTGTGGATGTGTATGAATCTCCTATTGAGCACACTCAAAGCCCCATCATCTTGGATAGGAAATTCATAAAAATCACTTTCCACAACAGTGAAAGGTGTGCCTTCTCAGAATACTGTACAATGAAATTTTATACGACTAGACTGTCCATCTGCAGTGGAGACAATACCCTGGAGCACCCTGGGCAAATCCTTTGAGTCCTGGTTTATAATACAAGCAAAAACCAGACAGTCTCATGATCATCGAGTGTTCTCTCCGTTTCGTGCGATCGGTACCTTCCTTTTAAGAGAGAAAGACAAGCTTCTCATTTTTACACCAACGTAAGGAATCCTTACCAATAAACAGAGTATGGCGGATTAAAGAGTCGGGCTTGCCTCCTATGAGCTCCTATAGTCAGAACTGTTTCTCAAAAACTTGGATCTGTTGTCACTAACAAGAATACACTTTTTACAAATTTCGCTTGCACTACACATCGCTCTAGCCTACTCTCATTTCACCGTGTACGAGTACGAAAGGACAAGTGGTTACTCTGCTGATGGGAAGGCATCCTTCACAGCCGATGCGGCACTAAGATAATTCAAAGTGTTCCTCAAGGTCTCCTTCTCTCTTTTGAGACGCTGTGCAGTATCTTCCAACTCGAGCAGAGCCTGTTGTTCGACAGGGGCTCCCTCGAATGTGCTTCCGACCCAAAACGAAAAAGGAGTTGGAAAGAGTTTTTTCCGCAAATCATCGGGAGCTACTTTCTCTGGCTTCCCATTGACTCGATTTGACAGGCGAATGACATCTTTCATGTAAGATTCGACCTCGTTTGCCAGCGTTTCCACGTCCTCCTGTTCATCCGATGGTCTATCCTCCAGCCACTGCACTTTGGCAACTAGGTATGGCTTTGTCCTCACTATGTCTATGACTCTAAATCTTTCCTGACCTTTGCAAATCATGAAAAATCGATCGTCAACAAGCCTCTCGTGTTTGACCACCTCCCCGACACAGCCCACGGCAGCCAATCCAGACGCTTTATCTGTGTACACAACTCCAAATCGAAGATCCGTCTGCAGAAGAGTGTGCATCATAATGCGGTAGCGAAACTCAAAAATCTGGAGAGGCAAAATGGCCCCGGGGAAGAGAACGAGAGGAAGGGGAAATAGAGGTAGCTCGATAGAAGTGTCCGTTCGTTCACCTGCCGCACTTGCATCTGAAGAGGAGCATTCAACCCTAAGAGACGAACGTCTCTTGCCCCCAAATTCGTTGAGAGCTGATGATGCCAGAGGTATCCTAAAAACACTCCCTCGTAATCCGTTCTTACAAATTTGAATACCGATCCTTCTTGATAGATTGTGGTCGGCCCTCACTATTGGCAACCCCGCACACTGCAGATGAGTGGGAGAAAGGCAATCACTTTTGCACCATGCAATTTGACGTTGTTTGCCAGGGCTGTCCAAAAACGTGAACGCGTGAGCATATGAAACGGTGCAGGATGACGAGGCCGAACAGGAATTGGGAATTCTCCTGAAATCTCCACAGTTCGCAGAGATAGACATGGTCGAGGAGTTCAAAGCCTGACGAGAGGCCGCCATTCTCCGGCCTGGGAAGAAGTGGGGGGGTTTTGCGAATGCAGCAGATCACTCTTCACCCGTCGAAGGAATCCGAAACCCCTGCGAGCGAACCCCTGAGCTTCTTTGCCCTCAACAGCATCCCACACTCCACTCCAGCCAGCACCTCGAACTGGAAGTAGATAAAATCAGAGAAAACCAACGACCAATCTCAATGTGCCCTGGAAGCTCCCAATTCCATCCTCCAGCTCTCGAACCTCCTGCGTCCTCCTCCTCAACACTTCAAAAACCTAATGTCATCGCTTGTCCACTGCAAGGAGGAGAATGGCCACATCCATCGGCAAAATGCTTCCCCTGCCAAGAAACAACCGCCGTCCTTCTACGCCTCGGAAAAACCCAACCCCTCTGCCAAGAAATCGAAGCTACAGCGATACCGCCCCCGATCGACTACCAAACCATCCGCCTACCGGATTACAGAATATGATAATCGGCCATAGCCTCGGGCGAAGGACACCAGACCGAAGGGAATGTGTGGGAGAGGAAGGGGGCACGGGACGGGACGGGGCTACTTGCCACGACAAAAGCTTCAATTCCATTCAATCCGCTGTTTGTGAAGGGCATGAGCTTCCACTTTTGCTCGAGCCTCTGATCCTCGTCCCTCGTTTCTTTCCTCCCTCATGGGAGGCAGAAATGCTGACGTAGGCGGGGCCAAAACCCTCGGATCCAGCCCATCGACGCTTTCCAGCGGTACGTGATCCGTGCCGGAGGTAAGCGGCCTCCGTGCTCCCATGGCCCACCAGTCTCCCGAATCGCTACCATTTCATTCACCGGACATGTCCGTCGTTGCCCGGTTTCCGGTCTGTTCCCGGGTTGTGACACATTATCCAAAGTAGAAGTGGAAGTGGTTTTCGAGTTTCACCTTCGCGGCTCGCTCCGCGCTCGTACCGTTACAGCTGACGTCTCCCCCGGCCCAGAGTCAGACCTCGGCGTTCGCCGTTCTTCATGTTCTTTGTTGTAAATTCGTTTCTAAGTCGGTGAAAAAATCGACGGTTTATTTTTTAAGCTCTGTTGGACCAGATAATAATATTCAGTCGGGTGAAGTGTTAAATTATTGATAATTTCTTGTATACCGAGCAAATTCACTAGATATAGATCTGGTTGAGTGTTACAAAGGAAAGTAGAATATAGATGAAGTATAATAAAGTTTTGCAAAATAGATGCATCGGATGAACTCAATGACATGGATACAATTTTTTCCATAATTCTTAACTTCAAACCGACTATTCCATTTGAAAATACAATATCTGTTGTAGAACAATTTTACCTAAGCCAGACCGTGTAAAATCTGGCAAATGCTAGTTTTGCTAGAATTTGGCAAATTTTTCTCCATAATCCATAATCTGGCATCTTTGGCATTAACACTTCAACTTCACTACTTTATGTCCAAGGGCTTGGCGATACTTGTTTTCAGCGTTTCAAATTGCTTCGCATGCATAATACCCGCCAAGAAAAGGCCTGTCAACGTGTTGAGGCGATGATAGAGAAGTCGCTTCTAACCTACGTTGTATTTGGAAACGTTGTCGCCAACCCATCACACAACTGAAGAAAGTGCATGAAGCGTCCATTCAATCAAATTCATGCCTCGTTGAAGAAAGTACTCTCGTTGTGCTTGTTCAGGTTCTCCTTCACATGCAGTTCATGGTGTTCTCTCTCCTCCCCAAAATTTTAAACATCTATAGTTTTCTTACTTCTTCTCTTTCGTGTGCAACTTGCTCTCATGCTGACTTCAAACTTGCTCTACTATTGACTTTGAACTATCAAAAATTTGGGCAACCTTTTGCGCGCAACTTGCTCTCTTGGTAACTACTATCGACCAAAAATTTGGACATCTAGAGCACACGGAGGATTCGAGATACGCAGGTCATCAGCAAATACACTCACGAGCTGTCTTGAGATCACGCATTGCTACCCTAACTTCCTCCTCCCCGCCTTTGTCTTTTGTGACTGCGCACAAATTTTCCTACGGTTCTCTTTGTGTCTTTGAATTTTGGCATCTTGTATAGATTAATTTTAGCAATTTTGGAATCTAAAAATAGAACGCAAGATTTTACATGGTTTGAACTAATCTATGAAACTAAATTTGATTCCCAGGTATGCAACCGGAGTATACCCCTTGTGATAAAATTTCATGTGTCATAAACAAGACGCCCTTATCATGCAGAAATATGTTCAATGAAAATGATTGGTCGCGAATAGCATAAGGGAAGATATTTATAGGAGAACATTATAAGTTATTGAATCTCATTACGAGTGTTGATTTGTTTTATTTTATTGTAAATCCGAATCAACAACACATATGATTATGATAAGATAGATAGTTTCATTTTACAAGTGGGTTCGACACACACCAAACTTTTAGACCAGTAGAACTGGATATTAGTGTGCAAGAGTTATGGATTGGGGGATGTGAGTGTTTATATTATCAATTCTATATGTAAGGGCTTAGGGTCCACATGATTAATAAATAATCAATATTTTCTTACGGTTAATATCTTAATAACCAGTACCAGTTTTGAGTAAGTTCTATTTGCATCAAGAATTATTTCATAATTTCTTCAAGAAGATACTAATTGAATTGGAGTTTTATATCAAAATAAATAGCAGTTGTCAACCAAGTAGAATAGTAGGTCATGCATAAAATTAATCAGGTGATAACAAAATACAGTTACAAGAAAATCTGATGATTTTTATGCTTGATCAATGTTGAATAAATATTATCCTACATAAATTTTTGTAATATTTTCGTTTCTGATCAGGAAAAACGACTACTTAGCACAAAGCTACTGGAAGTACTTATGACTGCTTTACTTCTATACATGATTTTTTTTAAAAGCTATACATCTAGATTTGTAAATGATTTTTTTAATTTTTCTTTTGGTTTGTAAAATCTAAATGAAATTCCATATTTCTTGTGAGTTTTTCAAGACAGGGCGAAGGCTGATATTGTTTTTTTATATTTTACTTTCTTCGTAATGGATAGACTTTCAAAATTCCAACTTCAAAACCTTAGTTTCTTAAATAACTTAAAGCTTGTAATTAGACTTGAATCCCAATACGTGTAATTGTGAATCATAATTGAGGAAAAAAAATATTGATTGGTTCAACGAGATCCTTATGTTTGAGATAAATAAATAATCATTAAATGAGGAGACATTGCAAGTAATAAACGAATGCAATTTTTAATCATGTTTACTTCCATTGATACAGTATAAAATAAAATAAAGTATGTATCTTTACATAGTATATGTGTATTTTCGGAAAATTGTATAACCACATTTCTAAGTTGGCTAAATTGTTTCAATATACTGTACTAACATTTACAAAAATAAACTATTTTAAGAATTAGAAGGGGTTTTATATATATGTGCAATACTTCTACAAATTGAATATAATCAGCTTGTTGCATAAGTTGAAGAGAAGTAGATAACGTTTCACATTTTGTCAACTTCATATGACTTTTGATCCAGGACGGTACATATTCTTACGAAGAATAGAATATCAGCTCCTTGATCTATTTAATTACGTGTTTATTAGGCGTTGTCTTCATGTCTTTTGCACAAGAATATTGCATTAATTCTCTAAAATTAGATCCAATGCCTTCCACATCCCCAATCCTGATTTAAATAAAAACCTAAACTTCTCACATGTCTGAAGTTGTCTTCAAGTTTCATGATGTCGTCTACGTACACAATAATTCATTTTCACGTATAGGCGATGGGAAAAAAATAGCGAGACGAAAGTTTATTTATTCCTTGAACAACGTAATTTTTCCTTTCCACATTCAATGCCCTTAAAGCATTAAAATTCATCATTATGCAAGGTTCCTCATGGAAACACAAGACTTCTACTCCCTCAACCTCACACAACAAGTGTGGGAGAAATCAACAAAACCTTTGATGATTATATCTTCGGTTTCTCCTCAATAATGTACACGATATATAATTGGGCCCAATATCACCATTGAACACCTGCATACGAACATTTGTATATTTTGTAGTCGAGATATAATTTACGTTTAGATGCATTTAGCATATAAACCTAAATTTTGGAGGACAAATCTCTCGATGTAGCATTATGCAAGCTCGTGTGTAACTTCACGCGGTTGAATCGAGGGATGACATTCTGAACGTTTTTCGGAGAATGACCGAGAAGCGTTTCATATGTTTCCGTCTATATGCAATTTAGGTTTTGATGCATATTGTTTTCGGGGGTTTTTCCTCTATCATATTCCTAGATTTGGTTTATATCGAATGAATGGTCGGACCTCAATTGGGCGGAAAACGACGTCGAGTGCAAGTTGATGAACAACAGGGAGTGCTACCGATGTGATTATCAAATGCAAGAATGTCACGAGCTGGCTGGACCAAGATGCAAATCGGCTGGAGGTTCCGGAGACTGCTTAACATTGCTCGGAGAATCACGGAGTAGCGGCGATCGTTTTCTCTAGGTTCTGGGTAATTTTTAGTGTACACCAAAATGGAGGAGGCGTCTTCCTCATGCACGGTGACGCAACGACTACAGGCTGATCTGGAGCGAGTTGTGGGTTCTTTGTATGCGGATTTTGGTTCTGCTGCGAGTAAGGAGCGCACTGAGCTGTACGTTTGCCGTCCAGCTTTTGATTTCTCTCACAATTTTCCACTACATCACCAATGTGTTTGGTGTGCCCCGTGCTTAGAATAGACGACCTGTAGTTTAGATGCTGGAAAGTCACAATCAATATTCACCTCTCACGTCCCACCCTTCTGGAACTCTTGAAATTTTGGAGCTCTAGTGGAAGAAATATCTGCCTCTTTTTGTTTGTTGAGGCAAGGACTTGGCGAAGTACGCGAGAACTCTTGCAATTCAATTTCTGCTGCGTTTTAGTGAGTGTCAAAAGGTCCGACAGTTAGATCTTGAGAGTCCGCTCTTTTGATTGCCTTCATCTCGTTCTTGATGAGGTTAGTATCTTCGAGTGATGCCGTCAAACATATTTGAAGTGTCACATTAATATTCTCTCAGATGAATTTCAAATCTCTTCTACATCTAATTTTGTTGGAAAGATTGAACGGAGAGGCATTTCATCGTCGTGATTATTTTCATATTTATGCAGGCTAACGTTGTACACTGACCATCATGAGACATACGTTACTCGGGGCCTGCGGCGATTGAGCGCTGGTTTTTACGTACTGGATTCAAGGTACTATAAGCGACCAGAGACAATGAAGATGAGTTCTGAGTGCAATTTATTTTTCAACGGGAAACCCAAACCTCTGAGTTGTACTTTCGGTTCCAACAACTCACTCTAAGACCTCACATTGGAATCCAGAATTGGAGTGAATCATTATGTGTAAGACTTAATAAATATATTGTACTTTAATGGCTACCCACCGGTTGTCTTTTGGGGTTCTTTGCAGTCGACCTTGGTTGTGCTACTGGATTCTGCACTCTTTGGCTCTGCTCGGGAGGCCTGTCGATGGAGCTTTATATAATCGTTCTGTCTCCTTTTTAAAGCACTGCCAGGTCAGTGTATAGAAGCAACTATATATTATCACTTATGGAAGTTTTTAATCACATAACTTCGTGTTCGAGGCACGTGGACAAGTATTTGCCCGCATTGGTTTATGCCTGAATGATGGGGGAAGTGTCGTTTCTAGTTGAGTGTAGAAATCTTTACTTTCACTTATTGATATTCAGCTTTTCCTTGTATCTTTAAATTGAACTATCTGACCTTTCTTTAAAACCCTCTCTTGATTGGTCACCTCAGTGGTTGTAAAAGTTGAATATAAGTGTCTGCTTGTTTTTTTAAACTCGAAAGGTGAGGAACATGAGTGTGATCACATAGTAAGTTTCTTTGCCTGTAGCTCTGTAAGTATAATTTACGACGACCCTTCTGGGTTGCAGTGCTACATGGACTCTAAGTATGTGAGGATTCCATGCAGGACCCCGAAGGTGGATACGGTGGTGGACCTGGCCAGGTAGTGAAAGTACTGATTTTGATTTGCTGTTGACGGCCTATCTCTGGTCAGGTGGTGTTGATGTTAAATTCGAAGTACTGTTTCTTAACGGCATTAAGCCGTCGCTTTGATAGCTTGCCAAACGTAGGCTCGTTAATGCTCATCTGGTTGGTGAGATGACTGAATTTTTCAAGTTGTTCGATGGCAGATGCCTCATCTGGCTACAACGTACGCTGCAGTGTGTGCCTTAGTGACATTGGGTGGAGAAAAAGCCCTTGCTTCTATCAATAGGTGGCTTTCTACACCTACTGTTGAAGACTGTCCCTGTTCATATGGCCATTTGTTTTGCATTCAATACATGATGAAGAGTTTTTCGTACGTCGAGTGCAAGGCCGATGATGTCAGCTAACTTCAATAATATCATTTGGCTGAATCTGGGAGTCTTGGTTGCTTCCGGAGAGACCTGATTAGCGTTGTGGTTAATAATGTGAGGAAATTCTCTAATTGTTTCCAGAATACTACAAGTTTGACGCACAGCATATGAGGCGAGGGAAGTAACCTGCCTTTCTTTGGCGATCACATGGAGGATGGTGCAGTGTAAGCACACGATGCTGGTGATAGTGTATGACTTTCGCACAGTTGGTAGAACTAATGAGGGTTTGTTGCAGATGTGCAGGGAGAAGACTCTCCAGTTTCTTCTTCGTATGAAAGATCCGTGTGGTGGCTTCAGGTAATTTTCAGGGCGAGACATGCCTTGTAGTTAGAATGTGTCTCTAAAAGACTTGAAATCTTTTATATATAAACAATGAGTTTCAATTCCTTCCTCCCTTAATCTTGAAGTACAGGGAGATGTTGCTCATTACTATTAACTCTGGGGTTGTTTGTGTTATTTACTGAAATCTATGATCGAAAACACTGTTTCTGTACAGGGTGCATGATGATGGTGAGATGGATATGCGAGGCTCGTATACGGCGTTGGCGGTAAGTGATCCACACTTCTGACAACAAGCAACATGTGTTTTTTGGTCATCGGAATTCTTAGAGATAACATAAAAAATTGTGACCTTCCGTAGCTCAAAAGTAAGACCGATAGTTATTTCGACGAAGCAGTTTAGAGTCAAGTAAGCTGTTTGAGAAGGATCGTTTAGATGATCACATATGCACTCTGGAAAACGGCGACGAAGTCGTGCGGATTAGGCTTCCGTGCAAGCAATTAGCTCGAAAGAGTGTGTCCACATTGAAGAGTGTGAACACTAGAAGACCACTGTTTCCTCAAGGAACAGCCTGCTGAAGTTTTATCACCATCTTACATACTGGATTGCTGTTTTCTAGTTGCTTTCTCGTTTATGCATACTGATATGATTGGTATGTATGTAACTGATAACTGATCATGAGAGCATGAAGGTCTTTGCATGCTTACTTTACACAGCTAGAAGATAGAAGTGTTCCTCTTCTTACCACCATACAGAATTGGCCTTACAGTCTCAAGATCTAGTTGAGGGTTTCGAGAGTGCGTTGTATTGTCCTTGCAATCCAAGTATTCTTTAGGTGTTTCCTTCGCCACAACGTACACTGGATAGCTAGTATTTGCTAATATGTATACGTGGAGTACTTCTCGTGCTTGTATCAGCCGTGTACAAAGAGTATATTTGAAAGATGACGTTTGTAGTCTGAAGGATTATCTGTATAAGACTTTTTGCTAGAGCTTTGTTTCTTCATCTGCTCGTCTACTCTTTGTCCGTGCTACTTATTAGGTGTTTCTGCCCAATCTTGTATGTCTCCGCAGGTGGCACACCTATTAGACATCATGGTGCCAGAACTGGTCGTAAACGTCGGGGAATTTGTGCGGAGGTATATGAAATTACCAGATTTCTACATTTTTTCGTATCTACATATTTAGTGTGAAACCGAATTCTGAAAGAATTTTTTTAAAGTAGGCCTGTAAAACCTCACTTATGATAAACTGAGCCTGCACTGCCACCTAGCCTAACTCTTGAACTTTCATCTTGTATGTTGTGAATCTTATCTGGCGACCAATGCGCGTGTTTTGGTATCAGAGCAGAACCTCGTAATCTCACCGGCATATCAAATTGAACTTATATGCTAACAATCTCATATTTGCCACTGTCTCTTAGTTGTCAGACTTACGAAGGTGGCATTGGAGGCGAACCAGGAGCGGAAGCACATGGTGGGTGAGTAACTTATTTCTGAAACCTTCTACGAAGTTCACATAGTTCAACTCAGGTCTAAAAGTCCTATCCACGTACCCATTTTATTTTTGACAGGAAGGTTTGTGTCGGACGAAGTTATACTTTGAACTTTTGCGTACATTCTTGAAAAGATTGAAATTCCTGGTTTGTAGAGTCCGTTTTCTAGGTTTAGTCTGTACATCACCGACAATATATATTATAAAGGAGCATAACCTGTGGATTGTTGAAACAGGTATACATTTTGCGGATTGGCAGCCCTGGCGCTGGTTAACCAATTGCATGTCTTGGATCTGCCTGGTCTTGTGGTAAGTGATTTTCTAGCAGCATCTGATCAGTTAAACCTAGTCATTTCCCTTTAAAATAGTTCTTGCTGTTGCTTTAAAGCATTGGGATGAATGCACTGTAGCAACATTCTTTCATGACCTTATATAATAGTTCTTGGTTTTGTCAAAAAGAACTGGGTTGCTTTTCGCCAAGGTAGAGTGGAGGGAGGATTTCAAGGACGCACGAACAAACTTGTTGACGGATGCTACTCTTTTTGGCAGGTTGGTTTTCTTGTGTGTAATTTTTCTTCTTTATGCTGGCTCCACCTCTTCATCCGATCTCATTGTCTTCCTACTCTCTTAATATTAGCACCGCTCAGCCAAGGCACGGGCACTGTGTCTTTGAGGCTATGACAGGCACATGCTAATGAGTACAATACCTCTTTCCTTAATTGAATTCTCAGATACTACATTGTGTTACATGTAATTGCATTTTCATTCATGTGCAGGGAGGCTGTTTTCAAGTACTTCAACAATACATGCCTCATTTATGGGCACAGCAGAACACCTCTATGGCTGCTTTGAATAAATTAAGTGATCTCTCAGAACAGATCAATCCAGAATCCGAGGATGTAGCTAATGCCATGCAAGTTGATTCAAGGGAGAAAGAGGATGAGGCTGCTAGTGTTAGACCGGAGGAGAAACCTCTACCTTCTACAAGATCTGGGTTAGACACCGTGATTAATCTGAACCCCCTGACAGAAGCGCTCGACGAAACACAGCTTACTTTGAAGTCAAGCAAGGAAACTCATGGAGTAGGCGAGCCAGTTCCCAGCACCGCCGGAGACTCCTTATCTGCCGTTACTGCAGACAAGATGATTGTTGATGATGGTGAGGAGTTTCGTTCTCCGTCAAGACAGTCTCCAACATCAAAGGAGTGGAACGGTGATGATGAAGGTTGTGTGTTTTGGGATTCAGACAGCTTGAGAGGTTTCACCTCTGCTGACAAACTTTTCCCTATGGTTGAGATTGGATTTCACCGTGAACCACAGAGTGTTAGATGTGTAGAGGTCGTTGAAGCGCCACAAGCCGTTGCACAGGATTCGGGAGCTGGAACTACCGAGAGTAGTAGCAACTCCTCACGCTCTACGGTTGAACTTGACAGTATAGATGAGTGTCTATATGGGCCTATCTTCAACTCGCAAGCACTTCAGGCTTACATACTTCTGTGCTGTCAAGTAAGTGCCAAATATGTGTGAACCAATTCCTTTTCCGTGGTAAATCATGGTGCTCGGTGTGATGAAATCTTCACTTGTGGCCTGGAACTAAATCTTTAAAAGCAATTAAAGTATTTGAGAATGTGGTGTTGAAGAGTACGCGACTGCCAGATGCCTAATATGGAGCAGAAGCTCTCTCACTTGAGTGTTTTGAAAGGCCGCGCTACTCGGTATCTGACGCATTTGAGCTCACTTATCAACTTGCAGGATTTGTATGGTGGACTCCGAGACAAACCGGGAAAGAGTTGCGATTATTATCATGCTTGTTATTGCCTGAGTGGTTTGTCTGCCGCTCAATATTCCACAGCTCATCGTGTTGGTGGTCCTCCCCCTCCGTCTGGTGTTCTTGGACCGTACAGCAACTTGTTGGAGGCTACTCACGCTCTCTGCAACGTGCGACTTGATCGGTATTATGGGGCTCGAAAGTTTTTCCAGAGCTCATAAGAATCTTAAGACATTTTTGTAGATATCAAAGTCCTGTTGTCGTAGGATGAGCTGGTCTTAGATTCGCAGGTCGAAGTTATATTGCAGGGTTGGGTGAGGAATGAATGCAGTAGCTAGAGTTTTGACGTCGGAGACGATGTCACGTCCGGGAGATGGTCGGACTACGCGAGTGGGTGTGACAGTCATAGTAACAGGTCGTTAGGACCGGACCACCACGTGTCAAGTTCAAGTCAAGTCCAAGCTTTAGCTTGTGTACAATTTCGAAAAGTATGAATTGTTCTTGGACGCCAGTATTCCGTTACATGCTTCTGTCGGATGGCTTGAGAGAAGCAACGCGTGCCCTTATCTCACTCGACACCATGCTCAGGCCGAGCATGCCTGTAGCCTCTAGAACGCAGCAACCCAATGCCAGTTTTCTTGTCAATTTTTTGTGTGCACATCATGGTCTCCTCTTATCTCTTCTAACGATGGCATTCGTTCTAGAGGCAACTGACACATTCAGCAAATGGGTGAGAAGGATCACTAGTTTTAGCTAACCGCGCACCGTGATTTTGGAACTTATTCTCGAAGCCCCGATCCACAGCGAGGAGCTGATATGAACATCCGAGTATGGAATGGAATCAATCATGAAACACGGAAAAGTCTCAAAGAGCAAGGGTCGTCAGAGTTTAGGCTGGGTCCCTCGTGGAAGATGACAGGAACGATACGAGGTGGCGGTTTCCACCGAAGACAGGACCGACATCCGCTACAAAAGCCAAGGCTTCAAATGAACGAGGATGAAAAACTAACAGACCCCTCGTCTCCGTGCTTGTCGTGCCACAGGAGCTGTCTTTTTTCGACAGTGCTCCTTTCGTGGAAGGAGGGGGATCCCCTCGCCGTAACGCCTCGTGACCTCCAAAGACGAGAAGACTGAAAGAGAAATGTCGACGACTATTCTCCGACCTGGAAGCTCGGAGTCTTCTGTCCGTCTGTACACGATCCTCGACTGGACCCACGGAGCGTCGAGCAGGTCGATCGAAGCGGGATTGTGGATGCAGGAACGATGGTCGCACCCTGAGCCAGGACGGGCCACCCGAAGACCACACACGCACTTCGGAACACCAGCAGCACTAGCAGCAGCAGCAGCTGCGGCGGAGACGCGGAGCCAGAGTCGACAGCGGGGACGATGTCTACGACGGCGCGATGGCAGGTGCCGACGAGGATGGAGATGACGGGGTGCGATGTGTTCGTCGGGGCCATGCCCATCCGCCTGCCGCCATTCTCCCCACGCCCGCTGGCCCCAGCTCTGGCCCGAATGGGGGCGATCCACTTCTACACGGTGGTTCAACGACCGTCACCCGGCGGCTTTCCTGTGGGTACCTCCTCCTCTTCCACTCATGATGTGCAATCTCCTCATGACGAGCAATTCCAATGCCAATTCCGATTCCCTTCCAATTCCGTCTTCCCAGAATTCTCGTGCTCATGACTCTTCCATCAGCTCTCGAAAGTACATTCCACCGCCTCCCTGCTCGAGAGCAACCGCGTCCCGAGGTTGATTCTTCGAGCGCGTACGTGGTTAGATTGGCGCTTTCGGTCCCGGCGCAATCACCGCGGCCCGGGGAACTGCGACTCTGCGGAACCACGGCCGATTGCGCCGGCCTCGGACGCGCTGAGGGCTCCCCGAGGAATCTGATCGCAGACAGTGAGCACGCTGCGGGGCGGGGGCCGGGGCTCGCCCGACCGGATCTGCGTTCCAGGGGAATGGAAGGCGCGGTTCTCGGGGTCTCCCGACGATGACTGTACTCAGATTCTGCCACCAGTTCTTCCGGAGGCCATGACTTTCAGACCGACCGACTCGTTTCTGACGTCGTTGTCATCGTTTCATGTGATTGATTGATTGATTGATTGATGGATTGATTGCAGTACGTGTATTTCGACTTCCTACCGGAGAGTCCGGAGGATCCTGCAGTTGCATTCGGTGCTCTCCTGGGCCAGAGAATACCCGGTAAGCCCCAACCATGGCTTCTCCCACCGCATGCGCTCAGTCTCATCATTGAACCATCTCTGTCTGTCTTTCTGCCTATCCCTGAGAGTGCTTGAGTTTAACGTGTGTGTGTTTGTGTGGGTGTGGGTGTGCTGGGGCAGGAATCGTCCAAGAGAGGAATCTGCGAAGACTGCCGACTAAAAGTTGTTGGTGGATTGGGAAGACGGCGGAAGACAAGGGAGTGGAAAGCGTGAGGGAGTTCAATGAACTCTGGGATAAGCGCTTGTTGCTCTTCCGGCACGACTGCAGACATTACACCGATGGTACGTGCCCATGGACGGTTCTTTTGACAGCACTGAAGGGAAGCTGGAACCTTGATGAGCTCCTCACAGTGACCGACCCGACCACCGATCATGTTCGTTATCTGACTGACGCTCATTGCTCTGCTTTCTGCGCCTATATAATGCCTTGATTTTGCAGCTCTGGTGGACCATTTGACCGGCGAGGCTGGTGTGATCGAACGAGTCATGGAGCTGAAAAGAAACGATGTCGACGCAGCTCAGAGGTTCACGGAGTATGACTGACTAGCTCCTGTCCCCACGTTGGACACTTAAGCTTGTAGATAGTGAGGATGGCACAGTGTCAAAATGGAGAACACTTGAAATCGTGTGGGAGGAAGAATGTTCTTTGACCGACATCGGCTATCACTCACTACTGACTCTTGCCTGACAGTTGCGCCGTACTCACGAGAGTCAAGCTCGTGCTTTGTTTGTTTGTTTGCTTGCTTGCTTGCTTCTAAGGATCGTGATTCTAAGCTCTTTACCACATCTGAGTGAAGTACATTCGCGTTCCAAGTCTTTGGTGAACGTTCCTTGTTCACAGTCTCTGCCGAATTCGGTCCGTGGGGTTTTCCTCGCCTCTCTACTCTGTTCGCCGGAGCAGATGCGAGACCACTTTGCGTCTTCACCCACCACTACTAGCAAAGGAGAAGAGAAGAGAGCCCTCGTACTGCACTAGTCCACTGGAGACAAGAAGTTTGCAGTTCCAAGAGCTCGGCGTCAGATCCGGTTCGACAAATCGTTTGGCACAGTCCCCGCCTGCCAACACTTGACTCCAAACGTGGGGGTAGGGGTGGGGGTTTCTCGCAAACATACTGGTAAGATCACTTTCCAAGCCTGCTTCGCTCACATCTGTCCGTACCAGGCTCCAGGTAATTATCGACGAACGACGGCAGCTCGGCATCATGACCTTCTGGATGCATGTGCTAAGAATATACTGATTTTGAAGCATGTTCACTGTTCTCCTTCTTGCATTGGGAATAGTTACCAGCGTAGTGAGGGAGGACTTATAGGAGAGGAGAGGAGGGCTGGCAGGGTTGAATTCGGTCAAACTAGTCACCCCGTGTTCGTACACTCTGCAGATTAGCAGCGAGACGAGACTTCTCGAGATAAACGCTTCTGTGCAGGCCATGTATGCCCTGCAGTCCGTTCCGATGCGGACGTGAGAATGTCCTTAACTCGGGTGCCGTGATACACTAGCGCACGAGCTTCAGGGGCCGCACAATTCTAAAAAAACTCCTTCCTTTGTCCCGAGCAACTCTGACATCGGTCTGTCAATGCTTCTCATCCATCATACGTACTGGTCTCATTGTAGTATACATCTCGAGAGATTGCCCACATTCCCATCATGGAAATTTGGCATCCAACACTCTGTCCGGAAGAAGACGAACGCATTAAATTGTTTTGCATCCAGACTACTTCTCGATCCTATTCTCACCTCCATCGAACCATGAGGGCGGAGCCAAGAGGACTGGAGACCAGACCAGTTTAATAACAACCAACTGCATACTGCCTGCCAGTACAGTCTGGCAGGCCCATCGATGAAATGCTGCCGGGGATCTGGTTCTTTTCCCTCACTTTTACTCTCCGCGATAGAATTTCGTCAAGTTAAAGGAGGTTTTGATATCAATTCCGGTCGAGAGAAACCTTTATGTGGAGTATTGCTCAAACTTCGATGGGTCTCTTGCCAACGAAGCTTTCCGGTCACTGGTGCGTGTCCAGTCTGGCAAAGTTACCCTCCTCTCTCTCTCCCCGCGAAGAGTACGAGACGTCGCAGCTGTACGGGACGTTCCGTCCTGTTGAAGCTGACGTACATTAGCACAGGGAAACTTGGTGGAACCGAGTAGACAGAGCCCAAGCCTTCAAGAGAATTCCCTCTTCCTAATTCTCCTCTCTGATTTCCCAGAGAGACGTCCTCATGCGATGTCACCCAACTATCAATGTCCATCACGTACCTTGTCTTTGTAGTAAGCAATAACCAACTTTTGTGAACAGATAAATATCGAGGAGAGCGGCTAGTTATCCCTCACGTGGGGCTGATCAGATCACAGGCTAGAACAAGCCCGACCGTATGCCATCGGACGGATTCTAGAGTGGCGCGATGGGCGGGTGAGTTCTTCACGGTTGGATGGACATAAGGGGATGATTAGCCAAAAGTCTAATTAGCCCTCACTATACTATATGACATTTCAGTGCGATGTGGCTATATTGAATTTCGCGATTACATGTGTTTCTAATCGATTTTAAAGATTTCAAGGTGTCAAAATTCACGAAGAAACTTAATTGTCATCTCCACGATTCAAAAGTCTTGACGGCGGAAAAGGGCTCGTGGGTACGAATTTCTATGTGCGAATTTGAGCGTTTGAGATTAGTAATACTCAAAAGGAAATGCTTAGTACTCCTCAAAAGACCTCTTAGATATATTTTGCTTGACAGGTTCAATCACTCTGTGATTGAGTGGCTGTCGATCCAGTGTTGCTTATTTCCAGTCTTGCGGGAAGTGGAACATGAATTTTCTGGAAGCTCATTGTTTGCTTCATCAACCAACAGTAAAACTTCCCCCACATTCAACTATCAAGGTCCAAAATATTATGGCAGCGGGCAGGACTCAAAGAATCTAAACGAGTATTTGAGAGGATTTACATAAAAGCACAATTTAAAACGCGTAATGTACACATCACCCATGAGAATGTTTTCGTTGCGTTACGTAGCTTCTAGATCGCGGAGGTGGCAGTCAGCTTCTTCCGTGACTTTTGACACCCGGGTATCTTTGAAGTCGATTAAAAGTTTTTGAAGCAGATTAGAAAGACTTGCAATCACGAATTTCATCTTTTATCACACGAACCCTATAGCCCCATCGCGCCCATGACTGAAGTCCGTATAGTAAAGAGAGTGATAACTAATTTCTTCCATATCGAGAGACTGTATCTACCCTTGAAGTTGGAGTATAATCTCCAACCTCCCAAATGTACAAAATTCATCCACGCATCTTTCCCTATCACTTCATGTTTTCAATACTAAACACTGTTACTAAGTTTTGGCGGGGCTCGGAAGAGGTCTATCTACAACAAATTTGAGCCCAACAACAATTCCTGTTTATTTTGGGAAGTGTCTCAAGTGGATAGAATTAGAAAGTCTTTATGGATTGATAGAATTGGAAGTGCATATTGATTCGAGCAGAATTGGGACTGGAAAATTTGAAGGTCTATATATTTCACGCGGATGAATTATCCACGAGTAGCGTACTGCTTCAGTTGAGGCTATCCGATAGAACGTTGATGTTTTAGAAATGAAATGTACACTTGTAAAATGTGCGAGAATGGTTAGAGCATTGATTGTGTTCAAGTTATAGAAGAATGAAGTATTAACCATTCCCGGCACTGAATGCGCTCTTCCTTGCGCAGACATGGTCAGTACATGGATCTACGTTATGAAGGCACGTTTCTCTTTATGAACGGATGGGTAGGTCAAAGGGGCCTCCTTGACATCAACCAAATCTGAAGTCTAATATCAAATGATGAACGGGAGGCTAACCAGCGATGAAAAGACGAAGAAGGGCACTCTCGAGGTTGTATAAGTGCTACGATCCGACTCTGAAGCTTTTGACATGACCAGCGGATGTGATGTCCTGGCTACAGCTACTAATTTAACAGCTGGGTTTCTGCACAAGGAGCAAATCAACCCTGGGTTGAATAGAAACTCAGGCAGCGATTCGACATGGAAGTCACGAAGGCAAGAGGAAAAGTATCCAGAGGATATGTAGCACTAGTTTATGTGATGAACTCGGTAGATGTGTATCCTGAAGTAGAGAGTCTCCCACAAGCTCAAAACATCATGCCATTGTACCATATTATGTCATGCTATTAGGCACACGTGATTCATGCGTATGCAGTGAAGTGAATTGAAAGAGCCACTCTCGCCGGGTGCAAATAAACGAATAATGTGTCCTAGAAAACTTTCAATACAGCCTCTTGTGTTCAACAGAGTCCCGCTCATGAGCTTGTTGCATATGGTCGCGATCAAGTACGCAGGATTGTCAATATTATGAATGTCCCATGTTGCAATACACGAATGATATAAGGCTTTTTCCAGACGTGATACAATAATACATTTGAGTTTACATTTCAGACAATCTGGAGGATCCACTGTCCACCACATCCTGTGCGCCTTGTCTTTCAGAGTTCGCATTAGATCAGGAATTTCTGAACCTTTCTCATGTCCCAGTATTGGGCTACTGTATAGACCTACAAGTGGCTCCATGTCTATACTCCTCATGAAGACATGAGCGGTTTCTTGAGCACGAAAGAAAGAGCATCACTTGTCACTGCATCGAACTTATCGTTGTGCCGGTCGGCTGATAAGCTCGATGTCGATCGAGATTTTCATCGACAGAAAAAAAATCAAGTCGGGTGATCTCTCAAACTTTCACAACAATACCGACGTACATGTTATCGACGGTGAACACATTGCATATAGACATCTTCATTCGAGACTCGAATCGCGGTTGATGACAAGAGCAATGCAATGTTGCACGTCCTTCGTGTGTTTGGCGTGGGTTCTCACTTGCGCGTATTTCTCTCGAGGAGAGCATGTTATCCATCTGGAAGCGACCAAAGTGCAGATTTCTCGTGGTGCGAGAGCATTGGTCGAAAGAGCAGATAGTCAAACACGGTCCAGCTAGAGAGACATAGACATAGACAGTTCTTAGCTCTCAGCCCTCAGCCCTCAGCTCTTGGCATTTTGATTACCAACTTTTGGCGGCACATGAGCTGCTCTTTCCGGTGCACATGTCCTGGACGCCCATGGGCGATGGACAAACGGAGCGGTCAATTTGGCATATACGTAATGGTGCAACTGCGTAGGGGCAAATCTTCTGTTCACGTGGTATTGGTTCCCTTGTCCCCCTGCGAGCACCTCACAAACTGTGCAGTAGTATGTCCAACGTATGTAGAGCCGAGGTACAATTCCAGCTACTGGATCACGCGAGAGATGCGCATCGTGATCACATGCCAGATCGAAGCGAAGCAGTGGACGAGGAGCAGGAGGAGGAGGCACGAGGCCTACCGAGGAGTCAAACTGAGGGGCTGCTGCGGCCGTGGGAGTCAAACTTACGGGCTCGGGAAAGGGGGTCAAAATGGGCGTAAATCTAGCAGTTGGAACGTTAAATGGGATCGGAATATTGGTGCGTTATTTGGTAGTTGAACGGGTTATGGTTCGTTAGTTATGACCTCAAAAGTGGAGGGGGCTGATTTGTGTCGCTATGGTGGTGTATTGAACTCCGCAGTGCCGTGAATGAGAAGCGAATCGAGATGTAAATGCATGCCAGACCCCCAGACCTCCGCAAGCGTTTCCATCCATGCATTGCCACTTTCTGAAAAGCCAGCCCTCGTAAAGTAAAAAAGATGGATAGATAGATAGACGAGTACAGCAGCTGCGAGCTTCAGTCCGGTCCGGGTCAGACAGACAGACAGACAGACAGACAGACCGCACCCCCACCTCGTTAGAGAGAATTCATCCATCCTACATCAGTCAAACTTCCTCCACCGCTGGGGCTCGGCTCGAGCGTGGCAATGCGACTCAGGTCGGGTCCGCTCGCTCTCTGCTCTGCTGCCGCTACTGCTGCTGCCACTGCTGCCTGCTATTCAACGTCGCTGCTGCTGCTGCTGCTGTGAAGGAGACGAGATGGTTCCTTTGTCAGCTCAACAAACCGCTTTCATCTGTTCACTTCACTTCACTTCACTTCACTGCTCCTCTCGTCTCTTCTCCTCTCTTTTCTTTTCTTCTCTTCTCTTCTCTAGCTTTGATTGACTCCCATCACAGCGTCTTACTGCTGCATGGAAGCTCGAGGAAGGAAGGAGGGAGGGAGGGAGGGAGGGAAGGGAAGGGGGGAGTCGTGTAATATAAGGACACGGACATTAATGGCACAGCGCTTGCAGGGCCAGGTGTGTCTACATGCAAGCGAGCAGCACGTCAAGGTCGTAGGAATCCGAGTAGCGAGGGGATGGCGGTCGTGCTAATCTCGGAAGGCAGGCAGAGGCAGAGGCAGAGTTTCGTTGGAGTCCCGGATGGGGATGGGGATGGGGATGGGGCCCTACGCGCACAGCTAGTCGTGAGTCGCGAGCGGAGAGGCGTTCCAACATCTGCTGTCCTAAGTCGGGGCGTTGGAAAGCAAGCAAGCGGCCGGCCATAGCTGGAGGAATAATGTCGAGGTGCACATGGACAGTGCGGCCGAGGAATAATAATGCCTCCCGGCTTCGCCTTTGCGAGCAAGCCAGGGCGAGCGAGCGAGCGAGGGGAGTGAGTCAGGGCCCAGGCAGCAGCAGCAGTCGAGAGTCTCGAGACGTTCAAACGCCTCCTGCCTTGGATCGCTATTATAATGGAAATGTGGTGGTTCAACGAACTGCGCTCTCTCTATCTCTCCATCTCTCTGTCTCTCTGTCTCTCTTTCTCGCCCTCGCCCTGCTCTGCTCTGTCTACGTGCTCAATCAGCCCCCGTCGGGATCGGCTCATCCGGATTGGATCCGTTCAGAGGCCGGACTCACGGAGATCGGAAAGGTCCATGATTTCGAAATGATTGCAGCTCGGACCAATCGGCATCGAAGCTGCGCCAGTCGCGCTTTTGAAGCCCATTGCGCACAAGGCCTCCTCCCTCCTTCCAAAGCTCGCTCGCTCGCCTCATTCATGATCCACGAACGAATCGGTTTGGACACACAAAAGCTGCGAAAGCAAATCTCGAACGAACGCCATCACTGACTGCACTCCCAACCACTTTCGCTTTTGCCCAAAATAGGTTCTGATTCCGATGATTTTTCCGAGCGCCCTCTCCCGCGACCCATGCTACAACACTCTCGCTGGACATGAAAGCGTGTTCTCCCCGGAAAGTGCAGTACAGGCGTGCCCTCTAGAGCAAAAGCCTTTCTCTCAATCATACGAAGAAATTCAAATCCGTGAAAAGCTGCTTTCATCCGATCCACAAGACGAGCAAAGGACCATAAAGTGGCCCCAGCCAGGGCTTAGCGCAGGCAGGGCGGACTTAAGATAATTCTCCCCATTAACTTCAGTGTGACGAAGGAACGAAGGAAGGAATGGGAGGGAGGGCTGCTGCTGCTGCTGCTGTGAGTTGATCACAGCGCTGCAGCTCTGGGGTCGGGTTGGCAAACACTCGGGAGAGATCCAATTTGGAACACTAGTCCACTTCCGGAAGCAAGCAGGCTCGAGACAGGCAGACAGAAAAAAGCTGATCAGAGCTTAAGCTTTAAAGACATGGGGACATCTGGTAACCTCGGCATGTCGAGTAAAGAAGAGCATTCTCTGGCCTCTCTCTCCCTTACGCTTATGCTCGCGAGCGAAGACAGCAAATTCCATCGTCTTAAGGACGAGTGTGGACAAATTTCGTCAGAGGCATGCCTGCCTGCATGCATGGCATTGCCTTGCTCTGCTTGGCTTAGCTTGGCTTGGTTTGGCTGGGCTGGGCTGGGCTGGGCTGGACCGGGCTTGGACTA